CAAATTATTGGAAACCTGCAGCAGATCATTACTGAATCCTTTCAAATGCAAAGACTACAGGCTTAATGATGACTGCAGCCTTTAGGCTACTGTCTTGATCATTGGTTAAAAACAAACAAACATATATATATCGTTTAATAAACTCTGGTATTCATCTATTTTTAAAACAAGTGGGAAAAACTGTAGTCTTATGCGAGTGAGATCAAACATCCAAGGCTTTACTGTACTGTGTATATTCCCACAGCTGAACGCAATCTGGAACATTTACTTGCATAAATGTAAAGTTTTTAATCCCCGACAACAGTTTTGTGATACAGTAGCTGTTTCTGCGGCGCACACGCAGCCCAGACATTCAGCCGCTCGCTGCATCACGTTGAGAAACATTGTAAAGGAACTGCTTTTCTTTTTCTTTTTTTCTGCTCAGCGTTAAATCCGATCCCCTTGATGCGTGGGGAGAGCAAAGTGAATTAGAGATTGAGGTGGGAGGCTGATTAACCACCCCACCACCACCCGCTACCCCCCACCCTCCCCAACCGAGACCAAAGTCGCGATGCAGAGAAAAGGAGGAGACAGAAAGGAGATATTTGAAAAGCTGCCACGAGTTCCCTGTCACACCGCCTCCTGCGTGGATTGAGCCGTGCTCTTTGTTGTCCCCAGGCATGAATACTGAGTGGATGTAAAGAGAGAAAAAAAAAGGCGCATGAGGAGAGGCGAGAGAAAAAAAAAGAGGAAAACATTGAGGCAAGACTGCATCTGGAGTAACCCAAACTAAAAATAACTTGACCTACAATATTGGTCCTTACACAATTCTCTTATGACTAAAACATTTAGCAAATATTTTTACGAGAATATCACATACATGTGTTGATACGGAAGCTGTGTGGCCCCATTGTAACCAAATAGGCTCTTTTGAATTGATCTTGTAATATATTATAATATTTATCTCATAACATTGTCATGAGACAGGAGTGTGTGATACTTACATGACTTTTATTTGAAGTTCTTCAAACATATGATGTCTCACATATTTTGAGGACATCAAATCATCGAAATCCGTCCTATATATTGACTTTTTGGAGCATTTATTAGACTGCATTTCCCTAATGCATTACTATTATTTAGGCCTATTGTGTAACAGGTTGTATGGGTTTTATAACAGTAAAACGCCTGTCACATTTCAGTATTTAGACGGCTACCTGTGCTGTTAGGATTTAAGGCTGATTCGACATACATCATTAATTTGTCTCTGACACACGTGCACGCGCACATGCATACGCGCGCGCACACACACAAACACACGCGCACACACACACACACATACACACACAGATCTCTCCTCCGGATACAATCACCTTTATGCAAACGCGTGGGTCTGTCTGCCGACTCCACTCCTGAAGTGGAGGGGGGGTGGGGTGATGGGGACGGCACAGGTGTCCAACGATCTAACAACCATCCACCACCCCCACCCCCAAAACACACACTCTCTCTCTCTCTCTCTCTTTCTCTCTCTCTCTCTCTCACACAGACACACACACACACACACACACACACACACATAGACACACACACAAACTTTCATGTCATTGACCGCTTTGAGATCGCAGGGCTTCAAGGGGAAACAAACAGGAAATATTTTGATCAAGAGTCTGAATTAATGAGATTTTTTTCGACACTAATAGTAAAATAAATGTGAGATTTGTGCAAGAAAAGCACCAAAGGAAGATAAAAGGGGCATTTTGGTGAATTTCGGTGGCTCTACAGGCCCCGTTCTTATGGGAGATCAGAGCCTGTAATAAAATATATCCACATTTATTTTTTGTTTGACTCATTTATGTAATTTTATTCCTTCGTGATGCGAAGTTCACTGCTTCATTCTGTCTCATTTCAGATACAAATCTCATCTTTATTTTATAAAATCCCAGAAACACAAACAATTGAACTGGTATTGTGCATCTGGATTTCTCATTTGTTTTCAAAAAACAAATATTAAGGCTCTATCAATTAAAAGGAAAAAAAAAAACAGATCGGCAGATAAGCTATATTGTTTGCACTTTGTCAATAATTCCTTGACAGTTTGTGTCTGCAGCTCCTAAACATACACAGACCTGAATTCAGGCCTCCATTCGTCACGCTATAGGTTAAAAAAAAAAGAAGTCTTTTCAGGGAGGGGGGTAAAGGGGGTCAGGGAGCTTTAACTCGGTGACAAAGCCTCATTTGCAGGTCAATGCGATGGCACACTCGCCTCTCCTCTCCATCCAGCTCGCCTTTGTTCCCTGTCGCCTGCGCCGATGCCAGATGGTCATGGAAAATGCTAATTCCCCTTGGCTGATTTTCCTCCTTTCTATATTTAATTGCAGTCTTTGCAGACTGTCCCGTTAATTGTGTGTTTTGAGTGGTTTAAGTTTTTTTTTTTCCTCTGAAATTATATTTTTAGTCGCTACATTTGCATGAAATCCATAAGCCGCTGTGCGTCAGAGTGTCTGCAGCTACATCATTTTCCACTTCTGAACCATAAAGGAGCAATATTTTTGGATGAACTTGTGGCCCACTTTACTAAAGATTGACAAGATTTTATTAGAAGTCAATACGATTAATTACAAAACACGGAATTAACAGGCCCTGCACACAGAGGGCACACTGTCCCTGCATGCTCCCTTGTAATTTAAAGATCGACTTTTATATAAAATATGAGGGAAAACATCAAATAGACTCAGATTTAAGACTTCAGATATTAATTTATTCGTTCTGGTCGTGGCAATACGAGTATTTTCAAAATAAATCATATAAAATAAAAGAATGTTTGCATTCCCGCTTTTCTTTTTACACACAGTTTTGGAGAATTTAATTTAATTTAATTTAAATTGACCTAATTAAATGAAAGAGATGACGGCCTGTATTTCAAAGAAAAACCATTTCTTCTCTGAGGGAATTGTCGGTATTATGGCTCTGAAAATAGCGTAATTCAGTATAAGTTATGGCTGAGATACATACAGATATAAAGATGCATCAATCTTGAAGCTTTGACTCACTGGTTAAAGCAAATGAATATAATTTTACTGATGATTATTGAGACAAATGAAGCTGTTGACCTGAGTCAGTTTAAAGGTCAGATGGGAGACTGAAGGGCCCATAAGGCTGGTTCTCTCCATCAGCAGCTGTTTGTTTAATTACATTCTATTGTAATGAGCTTGTTAATGAGGTCTGTATGTTAGCTGTCATCTCTTTCCTTTATGTCCATCATACATACAACAGGGCTGAATGAAGTTATAATTGTCATTACATTATGTTCTATGGAGCCCATTTAAACTGTAGAAGCCCATCCAGTCACAAAATATGAAGGCCTCGGCACAGAGGCTGGTATTATTTGAGAGAAACTTCATTTATTATGCATGGAGCATATGATTGAAATAATTTACAGTTTAAAATACAACTGGAATTTTATTTTTTTTTATTTTTTTTATGTTTAAAGAGAAACTTACTGTTTGAATTCCGTGCCTTAACCTATGACCTTTCCCACAAAGGCTCGAATTCAATACCTTTTGGAGAAAACGAATGCGACTTTAAGTTCTATTTATTGGGACAAATTCTATATAGTTACACAGCTGTAGAGACAAATAAAGGAAGATGACCCCTTTAACTCTGGAGGGGGACTTGAGCCCCCTGAATGTGTCCAGTCTCCAACATAGAGGGGACTTCATTAAAGTAACACATGAACAGCTGTTGTCTTTAACATGTAAACTATTGAGAATTTAAAACTACACTGAATGGCCTTGCAGCTCCCCGTGGGCATATGGGCGTTAATTAGCTGGATATAGCCATAGATTAATTATAATATTTTTTTCGCCCATTCGTATCAATAGAGCAGCCAGACAAAGTGTCTTTTGTTCTCTGATGCAGGACATTCTGTGGCTGACTGAATGGGTCTTGGCTATGTCTACATGGATTTGCCATATGGCAACAAAAAGGAAAGAATGGAGCCGGAGAGCGCTTTGTGTTGGAAATCAGAACAAGCCCGTCAGAGCTTATGGCTGTATAGAGCTGACAAAGTCACTCTGGCCATCAAAAGTCTCCATTTTCATCAAAACATAAATGTCAGATAGTCAAAGCCATTCAAACAAACCCGGAGAAACTTATGGAAAATTATGAAATATGGCTGTCACTGACAGTGATCCGGGGCCAGAGCGCATTCACACACACATACAAACACACACACACTCACACTCACACTGCTGCTGCTGCTGCTGCTGCATTTGGCTTCTTTCAATTAAGGGTAAACTTGCAAGTATGACCTGTTGAATGGTTTGTTTCAATAGACGAGGACAATTACAAAGACTAGTAGTTTTCTTTTTCCAGCTCTGGCAGGTGGCCTCCACGCCCGGTGTATCCACGGCGGGGTAAACAGTGTGTGTGAGTGGGTCTTTAGAGGAGCTTGTTGAGTGCGGGTGGATGTGGGGGTGTCTTCGTGGCGGACAAAGCGGGGATCCAAAGGCAGCTGCTGCTTCTTTAGAGGGGCGAAAGGGCCTTTAAATCCCAGCCTATATCCCGCAGCTGCCACGCTGCCCAAGGTTGCATGTCTGAATGCGTTTTTCCCCCCGCAAGGTAGATACGAGCCCCACAGGAGCAGCCACACACACACACACACACACACACGGAGTTCAGTGGAAGTAACGTACGCTACCTGCGTCATAGGTGTCTGAGATAAGTTTGTTGTGCTTTCTTTGCATTACTACCTGCCTGAAATATTATAAATCCTCCTTAAAACGCAAATTTAAAATTGTTAAGAGTCAATGAGGTGAAGGCAGCCATCTTTAATGAAATCTACAATAAAGCCTTTGTTCCTCTTTGTATCTAAATTATTAAACAGGAGGCTGTGGAGCTGAAGAAAGCAGACACTATGAAGTCCCCCTTGTCTCATTTGCACTTTCAAGACTTAAATTTACCAGCAAATAGTTTCAAAACACCCCGAATTAAACCGGACAGAAACACAGCAACAAATCTGCTTTAAAGTTGAAGTGAAAAATATTTTATTCTCATCTTTTGCAAGACATAATTAGGGCACTTGTATGAAAACACAAAAATAGAAACGGCTCAGAAACACAAAGAAACCTTTTTTTTTCCAAGTGTGGACTACTATGGGGAAGCTACATGATTGCAAAACATCACAATAGAAAAATGTAAATAATAAAATAAAATAAAATAAAATAAAATAAAAACATGCCCTTTGGCTAAATCAACAAGGCATTTTAACAAATATAAAGAAACATAAATAAATTATAAGTTAGAATAGTCTTAAAAATATACATTTACAGAAAAACCAGAACAGAAATAAACATTTATAGGCTATTGTCTCTATAAAGCTGTACACTTTTGGCCAGTGTAGACAATTTTTTTTTTTTTTTTTTTTTTTTTTTTTAAGTAATTTAGGATTGCACAGATGTTAAAACATTTAACACTGTCGAGTGGCTGTATGCAAAAGCAATAATGAATGCTACATTTGTACTGGATAGAAGTCTTTCGGCGAAATTTCCTCTCCTTTCCTTTCCTCTCCCTCCCCCCAAACCGTTCAGTCCTGAGAGTCTGCTCCCGTGTTCAGGCTCCGCTCCGCCGGGGCGCACCGAGCCGGAGCAGCCGGCCGATCAGCCGGGCTTCCTTCCCCAACAGCACCGTCCCACCGTTTTCTATCCTCCTCTCCAGCGTTTAAGTGGCGGGGACAAACATCTTCCCATTGATCCTCAAAAATGCGCAGGGAAATAGTGCAACAACAAAAACAAAGAAAAACACCTGGAAGAGGAATAAAACACGGATTAGTTTTCTGGAGAGGCAATTCCGAAGAAAGACGCGACTCAGCTTTCCGAGGAAACAGGAAATGTAGCCTCAGCAGCAGGCGTCACCCTTTACCCAAGCTTTTTCCCGCCATATCGTGACGCACATCCCCCTCCCCCAACCACTAGTGTTACTACAGCTACTACTATCACTACTACTGCGATTTCACCACCACAAACTCTCCCCACCCCCCCTCTCACAGATAAGCCTGTCTGCGCTTTTTGGCTCATGTAGGCTAATCCTTTACAATTAACCCAGGAAAAACAAAACACAAATAGCCTAACTAGTTATAAGGCAGCAAATAACGTAAATACAACAAATGATATTCAGCATTATGAATATTTAAGATGGAATGAAGCAGCATTGTCACATTAAACTAGATGTAAGCTTTTAAATAGGAAAAATACCTTCAACGGATCCTCTTTCGTGGAGTTTGTTCCAACGGGATTGGAGACTTGGAGAGGTGGCACGCGCTCACATCATTAGATTTTCTATCAGCAGCCCTCTTACGTTTCACGAAAAAGTCTGTAGAGAAGAAGATAAACCGTTAGTTCACATGAATCCACCTAAACGTAAATTACGCACGGCAGAGCGACAGACTGAGGGATGGTTTGGATACGGGGCGCAGCTCTGACGCCGAGAGCGCAGCCTGGATGTGAGATTTAAAAAAAAAAAGTCTTATATTCACCTGTGATGTGTGTGTTGTTGTCAGTAGCGGCTGTCCTCTTGCGTCTAACACACGGGACCTGTCTGTGAGTCTGCTTCCCTGAGTTGAGCTTGTCTGTGCGGTTCTCCTGGTTGACCTCCACCTGGCAGGGTGTGCTGCTGCTGCTGCTGCTGCTGCTGCTGCTGCTCTCCGGCACGGCCAAACGCTCCAGTACATCCATACGAGGCGTCTCCGGGAGTTCAGAGTCCGCGGAGGGCTTCTGCTTGACGGGCGTCTCAAGCACCCGGGTCCTGCCGTTTTGTACAGAGTCCTGATAAAACACCGGGGTCTTATCCACGGGCACCTCTTCCCACTCGTAATCCCCAACCAGCGGGGTGTTGGCCTCGAAATTAAAGTTCCATCTCTGCTGGTCGCGCTCGTTAATCTCCCGCATCTTGGCTTTCATCTCCCGGCTCAGTTCATCGTGATCCACCGGTCCAAAGAGATTACGACAAACGCTGGTGCGTCTGTGGAGAGGGAAGGTCCTCCTGGCCACCAGCCTCTCCAGCGCGCTGCTCGATAACTGGACGTTGGACATCTCCAAAATCTTTCCAAAAAAGCCCGAAAAGAACACAGAAGAAGATGCCCGGTGTGGCTGATTGATCCCTGATGAGAGAAGATCAGGTGCTGTTGTTGTGCCTTAGGAGTGTTTATGTGTGTGTCTTTCCTCTCTTTCTCCTCGCTCTTGTGTCTCCCTTCCCGTACACGGTTCTGTTTAAATGTACCTTCGTAGTGAGATGTGGAGTTTATAACCTCCCAACACGTCCTCAGTCACAGCAGCCACCTCGGACGACTTTCTCATTGGCTGCCCTAAGTCCAACCCTCTCCAGAAACACACACTCACACGCACGCACATGCACACGCACACACACCAACGCACTAACACACACACACACACACACACACACACACACACACACACACACGTACAACCCCCACCCTGATTTCCCGTCGGCCATCGGTGCCAATTTGGCTGTGCTCCGAGCAGAACGCATCGTTTTGATTTTTCTCTCGCGGTGTCACCTCTGGGACAACACTGGACTTTCCCGGTGTCAGCGTGAAACTGTTGGAGCTGCACTTTCAGGTCGCCCTAGCGTACTTCTGCAGACGCCTGCATCCATTATCGGACACGGATTTGATTTCCTCCATCCTCCGCCCAATTACTGATGCGCTGTGCGTCCGATAATGGGTTTACAGCGATCTACTGATCTATTAAAGCACTAAATGGCTGCACGTACACTCTGCAGTGTTTATTGTTTATTATGACTTTAGAATTAAATGAAAGAGAAACTTTATGGGGCCAGTTACACTGCCCGATGTTTGACCCCCTCGACGTTCATACACACACACACACACACACACACACCACATACACATACGCACACACACATTACACACCCTCAGCAGTCGAAAGCCCTGTGTTTCTCTCTCACCACAATAACAACACCTCAGCTGCTCGGGTCGTGTAGTATCTCCATTCAGCAGTGTGCAGGGATCGGAGAGGTGCTTTAGTTTTACGCACAGAGGCAGAGTAAACAACACGAAGGGAAGGCGGGGTCACACATGAAAATTGCTTCTATGTAGTCATAAACCCAGCCGAGCAGTTTTAACCCAATAAACAAAACAAAGACACCTCGTGAAGATTACGCTCTTTCGTGTTTTAAAAAGATTACTGTGATCCAGTTAAGCAGTGGATTACAAACCGCTGCTCCCCAACACTAATAAAGACACTGACTGCAGAGAAAGAAACAAGTTTGAATGATTTTCATGTAAGAATAAAAATCAAAGTATCAGTGTCACCCTCCATTAACAAAGGTGTTCAGATACAGTGCGAAAGAGTGAAGTTATTCACGGCGGTATAAGCTTCATCACCGGAGCCATTCCACTATCAGGTTGTCACCACTTGGGTCTGTGTGTGTGTGTGTGTGTGTGCGTGTGTGTGTAAGTGTGTGTAAGTGTGTGTGTGTGTGTGTGTGTGTGTGTGTGTGTGTGTGTGTGCGCGCGCGCATTTACTTCATTGTGGGGTAACGCGCGATAACCCGTCTCATTATCTGCAGTCTCCAGTCTGAAAGACAGACAACACCTCGCAGTGGACAACAGGTGCACAGCGACTCCCTGTGGTTCAACACCACCACCGCAGTAAGACCTCCTTAACACCCCACCCCCGTTAAGTTCTTGCTGTTTAATTACACGAAGTGTCTGAAACCCATGACCAAAATAGTCATTCATTCTGTCATTGTGTTAATTATGAATGGAATTATAGAGAAAACAAATTATTCTCCCTTTTGCTATGGACCCCAAAGAACTCCCTCAAGGACCCCTGGTATAGAGTACATATTTCAGACTTCGATTTATTTGTCATCTATTTTTTAGTAATTCTGTTGCACTGCTGTACCTTTATTTTAATGAAGTAATTTAATTGCACTAAGTATTAACAATTGCTTTCTTGTAATACAAAAAAAAACCTAATTTACACTTTATCCTGGGTTTAAGTGAACAAGCAGCAGCATTTCTGAACCTGTGACTGTTTGTTTACGCTCTCTTGTAAGTTAGTCAGAGTGGGAAACTGTGACCTACATGTGACACCATGATGTCACATGAGGGTGACCGAGGTGTATAAGGTCACAGTGTCACGTGAATTAAAGTGTCAGGAGGGGTTTGTCATCTGAGGTAGCTGCCAGCCTGTATGACTCACCTGTTCCAAAGGTCAGGTGCTCTCTGACATTGATGTCCCTTCACCAGGCGATGCTCCGTCCCTCAGGCTGGACATGTGATTCATCTAATCTACATGTCATATTGTAGCAGTTCACATGCACACACACACAAAAACAGTCCTCTTGTAAAAACTTGAGCTCATTAAACTAAAACCTCTGACACATTCTCCGACTAGTCAAACTAATGTGTGACTTTATTAGGCTATTTGGTTATTCTGACAAATAACTATAATTGACTTAAACATAATGTACTGGGGGACTGGGAACATTCATCTTTATAGGGCTCATCTGATGTGATCTTTTTTTTTTTTTTAATGTCAAATAAATTTAAATCAGCTTTTCTTGATTGTTTCTGTTCATTAAAACAAATGAAAATGATGAGATCAGATTTTGAGTGGGTTAAGTTGAGCTGTGATTAATGCCACACTTATCTGGTGATTATCATTTTGATTGTGATCAGAAACATGAAACAGAATTTTTCCCTTTGAGATCAAAACGGGTAGAAATCTGTGTGTGGTGTGCTGGTTCCCTCTAGTGGTGAAATGTACTTACTACTACTTCTTTTAACGGCTTATTTTAAAGCAGTGTGTTTATTTTAATTCTCTCATTACATAAAATAAATGTAGATTATTAAATAAGATACCTAGTTTGACCTTATTAATATAATATATCTTACTAAGCAATGAAGTGTATAAACATTATGCTCCTGAATGGATTACAGATCATGATGATGATCAGTTTGATCATAAAGGTGCTTTTGTTTTGATCATTTACATAAAACTCCACTCAAACACAAAATAATCTCCATGTCTGATCTTGTTACTCAGTTTCAAACGGGTTACAGATTTACTTTGAGAAGTGGGAGGAGGACTTCTGCTCCTCAGGCACTAGTTCTCTTTCGAACAGATATTGTCAGCTGATGTTTGAGAGGCCATGAAAATGCAACAAGAAAGTCTGAATTCATTAGTTTAGAAGATAATCTCACAGATTTCAGATTTCATCGGATTTCAGATTTCATCGGAGCAACAGGTATGGTCAGTCAGCCACTGTGACGTCCTCCAACCTGTTTCTCTGACATTCGCAGCAGTATGATCCTTCATCTTTAAATACACTCACACACACACACACATACACACTCACACACACTGGCTTAACTTGCTCTTTCACAGAAATGGAAATAGCCAGAGGGCGAAATGTGTGTTAAAAAAAAAAGACCCGGGCTCTGCAGACTCTTGATGTCCATTGATGGAGCAGAGAGCAGAAACAGGTTTGCACAGTTTGTATTGTTAAGTGATGTCCTCTGAATGTGCTCCGATACATTCAATGAATCACTGCAAGACACTGACCCAAGAAAAACGTTTGCGTTTACAGACTTCTGTGAGACAGAATGAAAAGTAAAGTTCAGTTCAAACAAAATCTACAGTAGAAATTATATGTTTGACAGCATTTAACCTAGTTAACACTTATGAACCACGTCTTTTTCTTGTCTGCAAATTGAAGTGTTTTTTGATCTTCTTTGTCATGGCTGCTGTGGGTGGGTGTTTTTTGTTTTTGACCTATGAAGGCATTAAGAAAAAAAAAAGGGGGGCCGCTTCCAAGGTGTTGCCATCCACCCCCACCTAGACCACTCACCTGAACAAACTCATCCTTTTGAAGTAACAGAGGGGCTGCAGGCAACACCGTGGGGCCCTTTAGAAGGAGGATGAATGGTCACTCGATCCCACAATCCCACGTGGCACCTATAAAACTGTTTTCTCTGCATGCTGCCTTTTAAGCTTGAAGGTGGCCATCGTTTGACACACCCGGCTGGGACCGTTTCCTGGATGAATTAGGAACTGTTTCCTACGTAACGACCCGCTCCACCAAATCATGTATGTGTCTATAAGCTCGTCACAAACTTCAAAGACATGCATCTTCTCAACAGCAATGAGCAGCGCAGACGCAGTGATGTGATCCTTTAATTATGTCTTGTTATAGGATGAAACTTCAGCTGTGCAACTGATACATTTACATAACACCCTATGTGATCTGTTATTTTTTGATTACTTTCGTGAAAGAAAGCTAAACCAAAGCAGTTCATCCATTGCATATATTGTTTAATGAGGTGTGCAATGCTGTCAGCATTTGATGCAAATGCTTCTTGAGTTTAAAGCCCTGCAGTTACATTTCTGCGTGTCCTCTTTTATTTTCATTAAACTCTGTTCCTTGGTGACGACTCAAGATTTCGTATAGGCTACCTTAGTGTTACCAAAAACTGCTGAAGTCTGGGTGTATTGATAAGGACACATCCTGGCTCCCCTTGTGGACGTCTGTGGTTCTCTTTTTTTAAACCTTGAAGAACTGCTCATTAGCCACAGCTGTCATTGCCACTGATTTTATTTACTAATATCTCAATAAAAATAGAGCAGAAAGTGCTTCCTGCAAAAGCTGTTGGCACATTGTCCGACATGCAATGGGTTGATGTTTCAGCCAAAACATGCACTGAAATAAACCTGTGCCCGGTGCTTTAAGAACATCTTGTGCAGAGTTAAAAATAGCTCTTGAAATGTTTTCATAATGCTTTTGCAGAGGCAAAGAACCAAATTAAAATACGTGATGAAAAGGCAGTCATGCATCGCTTGCACCTAAGTTGTTCTGTTCCTTTCAAAATGACACTTTACAGCTGTGTGCTTTTGTCTTCCTGTCCCTTGACCTAGATTTGAACTCTGCCTCTCCATTATTCCAGCTGCATTTCATAGTCTGTAAAGGTCAGAGTTGTGACGTTGGAAGCTTCATAGTTTTTAAATGAGTTTGTAATTGTAGGAGTTAAAGAGGTACGTGCTCTGAATCAGAGATTGTCATTGTATTAAAATAATATCTGTTGGTTAGAAACGATAAATGTCTTCAAAGGAGCAGCATCACTCAAGGGGCTTTTTGTTTTTGAATGCAAATTGTTTTATATACCATGCAGTCAAACATTATAAACTGAGTTTAAAGAAATACTAAAAGCCTGGGGCTACTCCTGCCATTCATTTACCTTTACAATTACAAAACCTCTCTCCTCACAGTTTATGATCCACAGTGGCCACTGAGTTTCTCGACCCTGAGTGGGCCTCATCCAGCCTGTGGAGAATGTTGCCTTTGGCTGCGGGTACAACAATACCAATCATTTTAAACACACACACACACACACACACACACACACACACACACACACACACACACACACACACATTTATTTTTCTACAAAATAAACTCAGAGGGACAGTTAATAACAAACCAATGTGCAAAGAAGACCACAAATTAGAAAAATATTTTAGAGGTTAAGTCAGCTGCTTTGGGCAGCGGCTGAAAAAACACTTGAATCCTTTAAAAACAGCACTAACACATTTGAATGTTGCATTCAAAACTGTGGTTAAATGTACAGAGGTATTAGGCATCCCACTAATCTATAACTAAAAGTAATTTGAAGAATGTTTCCTTGAGGGTTAAAGGTATGGATGCATTAACATGATGTTTAATCACCAACTGATCACAGGATATGATCTTTTACAGGCCTGGATTAAGAATGCAGAGGCTCCTGGTCATAAAATCTTGGAGCCCTCCCTTTGCTCCCCACACACATGCAATCCAGGTTTTGAATTCTAGGTTATCAGTGGAGGCTACTATCTAATGGGAACACCTGTAGCTTGAACAGGATGTACACTGACAGGCTACAGCGATGATCACAACCTGAAGGACAATGTCAGCACCTGTAGATGTATTCATACAGGATTTACACCATGTGATGGCAACAACACTTTCCTGAGATGGCAGCAACAATATCAACACATGAGCCTACAGTGTGCATCTGAATTACATACACAAGCACATACTGGCCCATCTCCACCAGTACAGATCTATGATTCAGATTCTTCCATCTCACACACACACAGACACACACACACACACACACACACACACACACACACACACACACACACACTAATCGACTCGTACAGCTCTGCATAGGTAGACTTATAACAAATAATAATATATGTAATCTGTATAATACAGGATTTCCACCAGATCACACATCCTGGCAGAAAACACAATGATACAACAGCCAAATATTTCCATATATATTAAATGTATCAAATATATCCAATCACATGCTTTTCTAACAGAGATATTATGTTGTTGTTAGTTAGCTGTTCAATCACTGAACTTTGTTATGAAAACAATGCTCCCTATCAACCTTTAACAGCCCTCCTCAGTCACTTCATCCTGGCAGCTGAATGGTTGAAATAGATAAACGTAACAGATGAACTGAGGGTCAGTCAAACTGGTAACTTACCTGCCACTGGGTCTCTGCCATCCGCTCGGGCTCAGGTGGAGATGAGGGTGGGGCAGTTGAGCAGGTGTGTGTTTCAGGACTGTTGCTCTCTGCCTCTGTTTACCGCTGATGCTCTGTTGAACTAAAGTTAGTGGCTGCTGTTACTGTCCTCCTCCCCTTCCGCGTTAGCATCGTCCTCTTAATGCTAACAAGCAGACTTTTCACAATAGGTCATACAGATAGTTTGTGTTTCTGAATTCCCGCCTCTGTCTTTGATGTTTGACTGCTCCAATGTTTGTTTTACAAAATCAAAAAGCAAGTATTAGGCCACAGTTGGCAGGGGTTTGGTGGCCCCCTACAGTTCAGAGGCCCCCGGGCACTGTTCGACTCGGCCCAGTGGATAATCCGTGCATGTAAAACCTAGTTTTGCAAAGACCCAAGATAAATGGAGTGAAGAGAAAAGTGCAACAATATCCTCTGAGCTACAGCTGAGTGAAAGTATAAACTTTTCCTGGTTATGCAAGAGAGAGTTAAAGGTGGTTTTGCCATGTGTCATCAGTTGAGGGTTTTTTCCAGCTACCACATTGCATCTTGAGGAGGATGTCCTGAATGGATCTTTAACAAACCAAACCTGATGATGTAGTCCAAGCAAAGGTTAGGCCTATAACTCAGCAGTGGCTGCTTGGAAAACTCTTAAAAGCGTCTGCAAGTCTCAGTTGTTGGGGAACAGACAGTTTCTCCATCTGTGGGCAAATCAAGCTGTTGATGGCTGTTGAGGGAGTTTACACGACACTGGTGGACACATATGAACTCTTCTACGTTAAAATAACCACAGTCCTCGAACTCCTGGGTTTCCTAAGTGAAAAAATTATGTAACTACAGTGCTATAGTGCTGTAAACATAAAGCTTCCAGAAAGTAAAATAGCCACAAAGGTTTCATAATCTGTAACTAAAATATATATAGACATATCAGTATGCCCTAATAAGAGAAACATTTGGGTTGCTAGGTTGTGAAAACTTGGCTGGTTTTGATGCTCTTCGTGCATGGCACTCGGTTTATCTTCATCAGGAGGTCTCCTCCAATGGACAACTTGACTTGATTACCTTCTGGAAAAGTGCTGCAAGGAATGTGGACCACAAACCATTCATCAACAGCTTATTGACATTTACAACTACATGATTGATGTTTTTGTTTAAAACATTAGGGTATAACCCCAGTAGCACAGAGACTGAAAAGTGTTTGATGGATTATTAGAGAGTGAGAACCTTTAGGTATTTTTCAATGGATTTGGTTATAAAAAAAAAACTGTTAAGAGATTTTTTACACCTTGACAACCCAAAAGTTGCTTTTATCAGTGGTAATGACTGCTACACAGAACATCAGAAAAAAATAATTATTAATAAAGCCATCAATTATAAATTACAAACCCTTTTTAAAGGCTGCTCATCTTAGCAAATCCTTGAATGGTCATGTCCATCCTGCACTAACATTTTGACTACAGCAAAATTGTGAAAGTGTGATAATCAAAAAAGCTATAAACTCATCATAAGCATTTACCACAAATAACAATTACTGTCTTTATTTGCGAATTTATCTGTTTGTTATTATAAAGATAACTAGATTTTATTTTGCTATTTTCTGACGTCAGATGCGTAGGTTATACGGAAGTGACGACATAAAAAAATACTCAAAACATGTTAGTAAGTAGCTTTTTATACCATGTTTTTTCAATTTAACAGTGCATTATGGTGGATTTACTTGTATTCCACCTATTGTTACTATGGGATTTTAAAGCTTTAACTGTAACTCATCCGCGTTTATAAACAAAACGTATAAACGGATGATCCTCAATTTAACCCGCCAGATAGGTCAGGCTGTCAATTTGAAGAAATAGCGGAGAGTAGCAGAGACAACACTTCTCTATTAATTAATCTGGTTTTAAAATAAAACAATTTACATTTGTGGTTTTAGGTGTGTATTTTAATTTGAAGAGATAGACCGGATACAGCACTGTTACTACTGTTACTGTGACACTAAGCGACGCCATGCCCATGTGATGTGTGTGTCTGGAGTGTGTAGACTGTACTGTCCTCGATCTGGAGCTGTTTGTCTGTTTGTGGCTACAGCAGTTCTCAACGTGAGTGGTTCCCAACCGCTAAATGGGTTTCTATTTACAAAGCGGATTTCAAGCGTTCGTACTGATGTAGCGTCAGCAGCTCCTGAACTTATCCGGACTGCAGTCAGTAATCCCATAAATTCAGCTGGTAAGTAATGTTATCTTCATTTTAACACCGCAAAGAAATTATTTTACTCATAAATTGCGGAACACAGTCTCGAGTAATGATGGTTTCACGTCAGTGAATGGTTAACAAGCTAGTCAGTGAACTTAGCTTGCCAGCATGGCCACATAGTAAAAAAAACCCTGCTACAAATAGCTAACGCAGCTAGCCAAGTAGTCTGACATCAAGGCTTGACATTCATAGCTGTGCAGATACAGTGATTTGTTTAGCACCTGATATCCTTCAATTTTATACTTGTACAGTGGTTATGCCAAAAAGTAGTCGCCATTGCTGGCACATGACAGTCTTGCCTCTTCTAGTTTTGAAGAAATGCGTTGGTTGGTATGAGTAGGCGGCGTCAGGGAAGAAGTCTTGACTACATATTTAATCTGCTGTCTGTACTGCACTGCACTGTACTGTGCTGTGGTGAGCTGAGCAGTCAGGGGAGGTATTCAGGAGTCAACCGCCAAAACAACCGCAGGACGTGATTTTCAGGTTATTCTCTCCGCCCTTGTCTTCGTAACGTTCATTTCCTCCGACCACCCCAGGATGCTGACAGTCACTTGGGTGGGGCTGACGCGGATGACAGCACACGGGAGCAGAGCTCAGGGATAAACCTAACCGCACAGGATCATTTTAAAGCATCTTGAGCGGTTGGTCCGACAAGCCATGACCAAGCCCGAGTCGAAGAAAAGCGGAGTGGCCGCGATCAACGCTACCGGCAAGTGCGCCACAGCGTCATCGGCCGCCGAGCAAGTCAACAACGGCTCAGTTGAACCGGGCTGTCCGGATCAGAGCACACCAATCAAAGCCAAGGTGATGAAGCAGACCTCCAGGGAGAGCCTGCACCGGAGAAACACGGAGTGCGAAGTCTACGACGACGGGACCAACACCTTTTTCTGGTGAGTGCTGTCTGCCAATGTCAACAGTGTACATGTCAAATACTGAATGCTGCATCGTCTGAAGTAATGGGGTTGTTCTGTCACTGCATACATGGAAATATTTCCAATTCAGATTTCTGCAGAAAGATGCATGTGTTTGGTGACAGCAGGGTGTGTTATAGGTTTCAAGGTGAACTGAAAGACAGGCCCAAGTGACCTCCATTAATCACAACAAATACTGTGACCTTGTTCCAAATCTTTAAATGTACAGTGATTTATATTGAAAGCCTGAGGTCAAACTGAAATGTGTTTTGGTGAAATTGTACAAACATAAAATGATAGGAAGGAATCACCAAGGATTACTCCACAAGGTGTCAGTTTCAGAGGTGCTCTGCTAATTTTTCCAGTGCTGTCATGGGTGCTTACATTGCACATCCAAGCTCAGAGCTTGTTGTTGACATGAGAATTGCTAATGTCCCAGCCTGCAGCTTCAGCAGAGAGAGATCCATGACAGGCTGGAAGCCAAGACAGATACTCATGTCCATGCGGTAAACTGGAGGAGTGAGTTCTGTGTGCACCCATACAAATACACACACACACACACACAGAATGCAGGTGTATTCTGGTAAGGGTATGAGGCTTGTCTGGAAAAGTGACATTCTCTTCCTCAGCCGTCTTTAATTTATAGCTACTATGGCCCCATCAACCTGTCGCTCCTGTGTGTCTCGGCTCCGCTTTGTGCTTACAGCAAGGGGCAGTAAAATATCTGCTAAGCTATCCAGTGTCTTTGGCAGCAGAGGTAGCTGGTCGTCCCAGAGAGAAACCTTAATGAGACTTTCTCATTACTGTGTTACAGCCTTGGAATCAAGGTTTCCTGATATTGTAATACTGGAGGGATAAAAAGGAGCTAAGACGCCAAGATACTTTTGTATAATGAAGTAATTAAAGCAGCAGCATCCCTGCAGTATAGAGAGGGGTTTCTGTTGTAGACTAAATACAGGAAACACCTCTTAGTTTAGGAAGTACAATTTAACAGAATCACAAGCTACATCCTACAAAATGACCATACATTTAAATCGACACCTCTCTAAAACCGTTTAAACAGATTCTGAACATCATAACTGTCTTGAAGGTATGATTTCTTTTGGGGTTTGTTGTATTAGATTGCATTAGCTGTAGCTAATAAACTGGCAGCTGAGTGTATAGACAAATATCAAGATGCAATATAGCATCAAAGTGTTATGATTTTTGATTAAGTGCAAACTCGATTCGGTGACAAAATGACCCACTCTGCTTGTGATGTATGTGATTGCTGTAATGGAATTTGGTCTCTCAGGGGTTGGTTGGCACTCCCATTTTTCTCATAATGGAGAACTGATAATGAATGGCTTTGTAGCTGTTTACCTTGTGGTTTAGTGTGAAAACCTGTGAACATTGTAAAACTTATGACATAGAGAATTTAATGTGTATGGCCAAGTATTGCATGCATAAATGCATTGAAATCAAGAAACAAAAATGTGTAGTATCTTAGTCTTCCTGGTCAGAAGTCGCCATAAAATTCATATTATTTAAAAATGCACAAATCTCACAAAATCTCCTCAAATGAAACCATGAGTTTGAGAGCTGACTCATGATTACATCGAAGAAACTGAGTGTTAACCAAACCAAACAAAAGCAGTGAAAGTTGGTTGCTTGTTGTGGAGTCAATACAGAAACACAGTAGCTGTGTGTGTGTGAGTCTCCTAGGTTAGGTTAGAGTTACTGCTAAGAGCTGTTTGTTGATGATGGTAGCTTCCTCTGGTTGTTAAGGAGGGTAACCATGTGCCCTGTGACCTGGCTTATTAGCACAGATTGGAGCTGGGGAAATGTTTTATTTTGTCTTACTGAGAAAAGAGGAATTGTGTGGATGGACCTTATATAGAACTCAGAGTGATGAAGCTAAATTTTGTGCTGACAATGCTACTTCAGGCTTTTCCTTAAATAGATTTTCTGCATACACATTTCAGTTCTAAGAGACTTCTGAGATTGTTTTGTGCATTTAGATTTCTGATGGTGTCATGGAAAGTGTTTTATTTTTAAATGTTATTTAAGAGAACAACTCTAAATTTAGGGTAGTAACATCACTCAAAAGAAAATTGTGCTCAGCACAGGATTTAATGTTATCTAAGTGTCACGAGGCCAGCAAATTTGTGGTTTATAACAAAATTAGATCATGGAAACCAGAGGTTGTTATCAAATGCATGAAACAGCATGTTGTATTAAATAAAGTCCAATTTTTTGGTCACAAACTGTATATGTCAAGCGTTATTCAACCCCACTGTCAGCCTGAGGACAACATTAGGATATTTGTGCATATGTTGTGCATATTAGTCACAGACTGTCTTCAACCAGTGGCTTGTTTTATCAGGATGCTCAGCCTCAATCTTTGTGGCAAGTTTTATTCTAAGATTAGCCTGGCTCTCACTGTCACCAGGCTGGCATTTCCGCTGCGTCTTTTCACTCCCGGTGGTGTTATGTGGTTGTCAGGCAAGAGAGAAGCTGGGTCCTCCCTTGTGTCTCCTGCCAAACAGGTTGGATAAGGAGGTAGAACAGGGAGAAAATGCGAATGACACCTGGTGTGCCGTCTCTGTGAGTCAGACTCTGAGCCAAAGGGCTGGCAGAGGGGGTGACATTCTTTAGTTTGACGGATGACAGCAGTGATCTAAATACAAATGAAGCTTTTAAGCCACTGCTATACATGCAGTATCCATTAAATGATAAGACTAGCGTTGTTTTATCTTTTTTATTAACAAGTCCCCTGTTGACTGTGTAGGTACAATCTCATTAGAGTTTATAGAAATATAGCTCATACCTCAGTCCCATTGACCTCCACTGCTGTCCTAAATCTATTAAAAACACAGGAAGGAGCCGCACTGTTGCACAAGGTGACATTTTTCTTTAATTTTCCTTTATGACAGCAAACATTGATGGTATATTATACAACTCCATGACTGCACGGTCAGTGTCTGGAGGGCAGCTGTGTCAGGCAGACATCTTTGAGCATACGCAAGGATACGATTTCAATATTTATGCATTGCTTTGCTTTGGTTTCGATGAGCTGACAGGAGCAAATTACACTTCCTGTGTTTATCATGAAAAGCTGCATTAACTGTCTTTTTTGGCCTCTGGGGAGCAAAACAACATCCAAAGAAACTGACAGATACACAGCCACTGCATATCATTAGGTTTAAAAGTTGTTAAGACACACTTGCTATACTTACTGCTGGGACAGGTCTCCAAATGTTGTTGGGTTTCTGGCCACCTGTCGCATGTTAAGTCCAATATTCACTTTCCTTTTAGCTCTATTTTGGCCTCTACTTGCTTATGAGGAAATATCTGGGTCTTAACCAGAGCCTGACCAAGATGTTAGTGTCACTAGCTTTTACCTTTTTATTTGACATTTCTGCACATGACAAGTATTGGTCACAATTCTTAAAAGGAACAAAATTTATGGAATGCTTAGCTTCAATTTTTGTTTTTGTTATATGTTGGAAATATAGCTTTGTCAGATTTTTGTCACTACTTAATTGGCCACAATAACTTGATAACTTTGTTGTTGTTGCTTGGTGCTCGACAGGTGCTGAATAGTGGAACAAAAGACTAGAGTCAAGCAACAGTTTACAGGTGTCACCTGTACAAGTTTCCAGTGAAGCTACCTTTTATTTCTCTTTAACTGAAGGGGCACTGCTCGCATTGGCCTCATTGGTGGATGTTGCTCTATTATTAGCCAAATGGATACTGCTGGCTGCTGTTTTTTTATTTCACAATGAACTTCACAGTTCACTGGGTTATAGTGCTGTTTGGTATCAGACAATGTTTTTAACTGCACACCCTGAACAAATAAAGGATTTGCAATAGGTCAGACTTTTAAGAGTGACTGGATCGGCCCTGTTTCCGATTCTGTTGATTTCTTTGGTACATCCTGAATAATAATGATTACTGGCTGATTCCAAGGTCCTTTCAGTCAATCTAAGCGTCTCTAGTTTAGTGTTAAACCATGACTCTACCAATACTCCCACCATTCACCTCATCTCCCTCTCTCACTCTCTCTGTGAATGATATTACTACTATTTCCTTGTCAGCTTTCCAAACACAATTTAATTGCTTAATCCTTTTACGCCTTTTTAATTGAGAATTCCTGGGGCTATCCATTACCTTCTGTATGTTCTTTTGACTCGTACATTATCAGCAAGTAGTTAAATAAAACTTTGCCCCCTCAGCTGAGATAAATCCCACAGATAGCACTGACTTATATCTGCTCTACTATGGTGTGTTACTGTGTGTTACGTACAGCAAAGGCCAAGGTTTTTTTTTCCTGCCATGGGGTGATATGGGAGATATGAGCCTATGGCCAACATCACAGCCTTCAAACTCAAGTTCATCTGCTTAACCAAAGTATACAAATGTTATCAGTTTAACAGGCCAGATACAAACTGCTTAGGATTTTCACAGTCCACAGTCAGACAGTTATTTTTTTTAGTGTTTGTTGCATAACCTTTTGTTATTTATTATTGGTGGAAGTAATCCAGTTTCCCAACAGAAATTTGTTTCAACACATCTCCATTTCACTTTTCTTCACTTAATTTTTCCCCTATATTTACGTTTGATTAACAGCAACAAACACTTTTCAGTCACAAGCACAGGATGCCTAAAAGGTTTGTTAAGATACTTTGTGTAGTAATCACCAATCTGATCTCAGCTCAAATTACAGTGCATTAATATTGCTAAAAATGATCCCTTGGTGACGTCAGATAGCATCAGCAGGTTTTTTTTTTTCTCTCTCCTCCAGTGTCTTTTATTGTTTGTTGTTTATTTTTTGTATTAATATCCCTCTCTCTGTCCCTCCTCTCCCCCTCTCTCTCTCTCCAGGCGAGCCCATACTGTGACAGTGCTGTTCATTCTGACCTGCGCTCTGGTCTACGTCACACTGTTGGAGGAGACCCCCCAGGACACGGCCTATAACACTAAAAGGTCAGTACGCTGCGCTCGTCACTTCCTCTGTGTCTCTGCAGGATCCAGCAGGCTGCCCAAAAAAAAATCCACTTAATCCTCTGGGGCATTTTTATTGGACTGAAATTTGATATGATACTTTTGGCATCATTTTTTTTCTAAGTCATCAGAATCTCTAGTGATTTCAAGGTTTATCCTATATTTTTAATTTTTAATGTTGACTCAAGCCAGGTTTAGATGTCGATTTGTGTCCATTACAACAAGACTTTAACAGCCACTTTAAAGGTCCCATATTGTGTAAAGTGAGATTTCCATGTATTTTTTATTATAAAGCAGGTCCAGGTTCTATATGAACACTCTGAAAGAATCAAAGTGTTCAGTCCACAGAGAAATGCACACAGCCTATATTCAGAAACTGAGCCTTAAAACAAGCCGCCAGGACTTCTGTAACTTTGTGATGTGACAACAAAGCAATCACCACCCTCAGCCATGCCCCAAACCCAGCACACCCACACCCACCCCCCAGCCTTGCTGGATTTGGTGTTGACCTGCAATCTGCTATATTTTTATATGATCATTCAGGAAACAGTTACTAGAGCTCCAGAGAGAGGCCCGAGAGAGGAGATGTAAAACTACTTTGAGTAGGTTTTTGGTCCTTAAAACCACTAATACACCTTCTTATGGATATCAAAACTTCAAATAAAGCACAGGAAAAGTGTAAACTTTGGGACCTTTAACTTAGAGTAAGTGTCTGTTAGTGTGAGGAACCAGCTGATGTACAAAGTACTTACCCTTTTGTATGTAAAATGCTGGGAAGTTGCAAAAGTGTGTTTGTTTATGAGCCTTTTTGGGGTCATGTCACATTGTTATTCAAGGCCCACAGAATAGGTCACAGAACAAAACCAACCAATAAGCATAGCAGTTCTAATATTTAACACCATTTAACACCAGTAGAATTCCCGTTGAGTGCAGCTGGCCCTCTTTCAAGGCCACGTGTAGCTGATGGCTGTGAAAAAGAAGAGCATGGACACCAGGTCACCATTTGATTAGATTAAAAACTGGCAAGTGACTATTACTCTTTACTCTTTCAATCTTGAATAAATGCAAAATGAGTGAACCAGTTTCTCTTAGTAGTACCCAATCATACCAGAAAGTGCCACACAGTGAAGTCGGTGGCACTAGAAGCTTGCTGGTGACTGTACCGACAGGTCTACGCTTCCTGAAAACAGCATAATAAAAAAAGCAGCACTTGAGAAGTGCAAAGAGTCACCTCATGTCTTTACCTTTTGGTAAATTGTATTCATATATATATCAACAGACTAACAAATATACAGTTTTGCTGTGGCTACTTACTGACTCCATTAGTGTTGCTTCTAGTTCTGCAGAGCGGGCTTTCATAGAATTAGATGGTGTGACACAGTTTCTTGTATTTTGAACTTTCTGGTTTCCTCTGTTCTCTGAACTCTCATGGTGGTTTATGATTGGTTAAAGACTCAAATGTGTGTGTCAAAGTTCACCAAAGTAGAACTCTAATGTGAAAGCTCAGCGCACATTTACTAACACGAGCGAATCCACCGATTTCAGCAGATACATTGAAATTAAATGATTTTGGTTAGAAATCCCGCTGTTGTAAACGCTGGTATGTGTGGATGTTATTGGGGTATGGTAAAGCAGCGTAAAGCACATCAGTTTGTTCCTAGTTTTATCATATCCCTCTAGGCCTCTGTGAAGTTCTCCCAGTTCTCCCCTTTGGAGTGAGTTGCTGCCCCAAGTGAGGGAGTTAAGTATCTGCGGATCGGTGCGGTGCGGTGGGGTGGGGTGGGGTGTGTGTGTGTGTGTGTGTGTGTGTGTGTGTGTGTGTGTGTTTGAAAGAACGGCCATCTGAGCTCCTTCCTGTTGTATTAACTAACGACCCGGAGTGTTTGGAGACTTACTTATTACAAGAACATGCCATTAGTTTAATGGATGATGTGAACTAAGAGTGTGGAAAAACGTTCTGTAATTTGAGACTTATGATAATGAGCTACTTTGATTTTTTTAAGTTTCATTTGCTTTGAAGCAGTGGGGCTGTATCTGTGGGAGTTTAATTGGAATAGTACACGCACAAGTAAGCTGCATAAATGATGTGAGTGTTTGTGACAGAGACTGAGTGGTTGTAGGTTGGGTTTGTGAAGGATTGTGGGATTGCTCTTAACAGGATTTGCTGCAGTCAGCATAGTCCGGCTCGTCGGGATAAAGACCCTAGATCTTCTTCCTGGCAGCGGCACACACTCACACGCACAGTCCGAATCTCTTTCACGTACTCATTCACACACTGTTGGGCACACTCATCCTCTCACACTCATTTTGAAAAACTGGACAAATGGCTCACTCTCGCTAGTTCACACACATGTAACCTCACTTTGACACATACTTGTACACTCACTGTCCTACCCACACACACATGCACAATCAGTCATTCAATCACACACACACACACACACACACACACACACACACACACACACTCATGCTCCCACACTTGTTGGCAAGCACGAGCTGTAATCTCATTCCAGTCCATGTCCAGTGTCTAAGCTTCCCCTGTTCATTTGTAAGTTCAGAAGAGCGTCTGGTCTCCGGGTTTTCAGATCTCAACACATCAGCAATGAACGGCAACACGACCTGATGGCAACAGGTTAACACTGGCCTCATGTGCCCAGTCTTTACATAAGTCAACACAGAAATGGTGATAAGGAGTAATTGTCCATGGCCAGCTGCTGAGACAGGCCTCCAGATTCATGTTATATCAAATTATGCCCCGTTACTTTCCCCTTCCTTCCCTTTGCACTTATGTTTAGACCATTTATATCACAGATCTTTAAGAAAAGCCAAAGGTTTAAAGCTTTATGTAGTATAACGTCAACTTAATTTCCATTTCAATTTCCGATTATGCTCTTTTAGGGGGATAGTAGCCAGCATCCTGGTGTTCCTCTGTTTTGGTGTGACACAAGCCAAAGATGGACCATTCACCAGACCACATCCAGGTAAGATGAGAACATTTACCACATAAACAAACCAATGTTTTCTAAACCTGCTTTTCTCAGAATTCCTTAATTTCATTGCCCTAAATCTCAGTCAAAGCACTTTTTTCTCAGACTTTGAAAGTTACAGAGCTGAGGCTTCCAGTACAGCAGCTAAATAGTCACCATCTTAACTAAACAACTATTCATCACATATCTGGGGACCCCTTGTTTCATATCATACCCCCACTCCCCCACCTTGTATTGTGTCTCTTTGTATACTATCAGCTGTGTAACAAAGGGTAAAATGCTGAACAAAAACTAAAAAAAGAGTTTTTTTTTCTTCCACTCTGAATCCTATCCAAAATATGTCAGAATGACATTTGTTTGCCCTGTGTATACTTTACAGATAAGTGCATCCATGAACATCCTCATAAGCATTAAAAAGCACTTGTTTACAAACTGAGCTGTTGAAAATTCATCAAATGTAATAATTGACAGGAACTTTGCACTGTTCATATAGCATGATATTATCAGTAGAAGCCCGGGTACTGAATCATTGATTTTTTTTCTCCTGTGCTCTCCTGTGCAGATGGGTTAGAGAACCTGAGAGCAGTTAGCACTCAATCGATCAATAGCAACATCTGAGAATCTCATGTTGGCTCCTAATATGATGTTTTGATCCTGTGAGTGCTGGGAATCAATACACACAAAGGCTAGTTAAATGTAACTGACAAAGTAAAAGAGACATATTAGTAAATGCCGACTTCTGTTGAAAGCAGGGGAGCTGTTTTCCTGGCATGGGTTAGGTCCAATCAAAACAGTTAGAGAACAAGACAGACAAAAGTCCACACCAGGTAAAAACCTTTAGTTAGTCGAAGTCTTTCCTGGCTCATAGCAGTGATGTCTCAAGGATGGTGTATAGTTTAAACATGGAAATGATGCACTTACTTTAACAGGCTATACTCAGTCCTGCTAAACACATAAACCTCTCCCATGGATCAGAGAGCTGCTGTTTAAGTGCAGAGCAAGGACGAACAAGTTGGGTTTTGTTGTACCTGGGTGGTGCACGTGTGAAGTATGCCGACAGTCAGAGTGAATATCAATAGATCATAAATCAATCTAAAGTAATGTTCGCTACCTGCCACTCTCTCTTCTTTCTTTTTCTCTTCTTTCCCTCTCCCCCCCTCTTAGCTCAGCCAGGTGTCTCCACTTTAGCCCTTGTTTCAAATTAAAAGCCCTCTGCAGAGTTGTGTAATTGCGACAGTAATTTTGCAGCAGGGGGAAAGGAGACAGGAAGAGTGACTTGTTGGATAATATCCTGCACTCATACACACCCAATGTTTCCACAAACAGAAATTGGGAAGGCTTATTTTAGCACTTCATATTGTAAACCTATAATCACTACCTAGTTGGTAGTTTGCAATGGATAAATGCTGTGGTTCAGGTAAACACAGAAATTAAACTGTACATTGGCTGAATGCAGTAGAAACTCTGTGGCAGAACTTTTTCTCATAAGTCTGCACCATTACTGAATGTGGTTCTTTTAGAGTTTAAGCTTATTGTTTGTTGGTTTGACAGCATCAGCTGGTGTATAAAGAAAATGTGATTATTTTCTAAACTTCATCAAACTGGTTAGGTCATATATCACATGTTGAACCGTATTTGGTGAGGCTGAGTATATGAGCCTAACCATGACACTGTGTACCTCTGGCTATTTAGGCTTTAACCAGGTTGTTCATGTAGAAGCCACATCTCGTTTCTCACACAACACACAACTAACTCCAGAGGGAAGGAAGGAAGGAAGGAAGATAACAGGGTGTGGAGGACAGATTGAGGCACATACTGAATATTGTTGGTTGATGGAGGCGTGAAGTGGCCGGGCAAGAATTTGTGCCGCTGTTGTTGCATTACTTGTGCCTTCTTGCCCCCTCCTTTTGTTGTTTGAAAGACAAGGGGGTTTTGTTGTTGTGTGTGCATTGAGTAACTATGTCATACACACTGACCTGTTGATCCAGCCAAGTAGGTTGAGTTGTTGTTCCCAATGTTGCAGTTAGGTTGAAACAACATAGGTTTGTATCCTGGGAAAAGACCTGCAGGGGTTTTCAGATTTACAACCTGCAACTCCCACTGGATCACCGGCTGGGATAGTCACAGCAAACTGAGCTTATAAATATGAATTCACAAGCTATGACAGTAGCATAACAGTAACAGCTGAAATAATAAAAGTTTCTTCATTCTTGTGTGGGGAATTAGTTCAAGGTGCTGTTTAGATATCCCCTGGCTTTTACCACAGTTTATATTACTACAGAATTTCACTTTATCCTTGGCAGTAGAAAAACACACTATAATTCATGCATATACGTATATAGATATATATATCTAAATATATATATGTATATATATATAACTGATTGGTTTAGATACAGTTCAGGGGAAATTCAGCAAAATTTAAATCACATCTCAGAATAATACTTTGGCATGATTGCACACTGTATAACAGGTACATCATTTTTAATCTACCCCCTTAAACTACAGAGAGATTAAAACTGAAGTCATGTTAATTCCCAGATGTGATTCAACATGTTTTATTTTTATTTTTTGGAAGTGACACAGCTGATATGTGTTTCTGTCTGATGAGTTCAGCATGTTGTAAATTGTTGCTATAATTACCACTTTCACTCTCTCTCTCTCGCTCTCTCTCTCTCTCTCTCTCTGTAGCTTACTGGCGGTTCTGGCTTTGTGTCACTGTCGTCTACGAGCTCTTCCTCATCTTCATCCTATTCCAGGTGGGTGCACTGATGATCTTTCTGCTTTGTTCGGCTGAAACACTCACAATAAAACAGTCAGATGGGTATGCATACATCAAAATATGCACATACAAATACATTGTGGAAGGAAAAAAACATACAGCAACCACATGTGTATTGAAGGTATTTCAATTATAAGGTGTACACCTCTTTCTTGGATGGTTTACTTGAACTCTGACCTTTGGTGATGCAGTCCCTGCTCCCAGAACAAGGCACCAGAGCACTGACACAGCCATCTGTTTTCTTGAGGTTCACAGTGACCTTTGGTTTAAATCTTGGATTGGTTAGAGGAACCAAAGCAATGATGCTACTTCCTGAAAAACCATGCGGTGGAGTCCATAAAGGAATCTTAAAACCACGCCTAAACTCTGGCCAAAATAAAAGATTTTGTTGAGAGTCCTGCTCCAATCACTGGTGCTTTATCTGCTGTCATCTGGTCCCACATCTGGGACCCTGGAAGCCTCTTTTCTCTCTCTAGGTTTAATTAAAATGTCTTAACACTGAGCCAAACCAGATCCTGTATAGATAACAACGTTTTACAGCTGGCAAAATGCATCCCATCAGGCCTGGACACTGGTAAAAAAGTTTAAATACTTAAGCCATCTGCCTTCTTGATTTATTCAAGGAAAATTAAAAATCTAAAAAAAGCTTGGTGAAATTATTAAAAACTATTTATGCAACAATAATGTATCATTAACTAAAAATGAAAACTGAATGAGAATGCAAAGAAAACTGATTGTACACTGTAAATTTGATATGCAGTGTTAACAAAAGGATACAGAATAATTCTTTCCTTCATAGTGCTGCACAGGTACAACATTATTATTATAATTATATTATATTATAATTATTGCTAAAATTATATTTGCTTTTTATTTATAAATTGTGGTCAATTGGTTAGTAATCAAAATTATTAGACATGATTTGTGGAGCTGAGTTGTTTTGAGCTTTGCCAGTATGATTAATACAGCAACCATTAATTTGAAAACATTTCAATATGCGGAATATGTCGGTTTTCTATTATGGTTCATTGTAACTACATGAAGCTATTTCTCAGGGAGAATTAAGTGCTGACAGTTTCTATACGTCTCCTGTAAACTCTGTTATCCAGACAGTGCACGATGGACGACAGTTCATGAAGTACATTGACCCCAAATTGGGAGTACCGCTGCCAGAGCGCGACTATGGAGGAAACTGCCTTATCTATGACCCAGGCAACACTACTGACCCCTTCCACAACATCTGGGTGAGTAGTATAGTATTTTGTTTTGTGTTACCCGTGCACCCAGTCTTTTCAGTTGTGATGGTTTGTATTGGTATTTCTGTTTGAATACGCAGTACCACTCAAACTTCTGACCTGGTCCTGCTATTTATATTGTGGTATCCTTCGTGTTATCACTAATAAGGAAATGACCCAGATCTCAATTACTGTGGCAGCCTAAATGAGTCTGTACACATCTCTCTACACTGCTGTCAAATTGGGAGAATCCTCTATTTCCCTCTTACTTTGTTTCTTTCACTCATCCATTCACACACTCACACTCCCTTAGTTCTCCTTCCCCGTCTCTTTCTCCTTAGCTTTCTGTCACACACACACATACAAACACACAGTGAGTGTGCATGTGTGATGACTGGCTCCAGAGGTTTGTGTCTGATGCAGACTATAGCCCGTCAGTTAGAACCAGGTCTTCTTCGTCCCCTGGGGAGACAGTCTGCTGCCGCCGCCATTACCAGGCCCTGTCTCCACTGTTGGCCTGATTTCAGCCTCTGGGGGGGGTCAAACCACCTGCCACTGAATTATAGTCAATCTATAGAAAATCTTTTTCAAAATGTCAAATTATGACAAGATATTTAGAAATAAATTTTATTTAAAATAAAACTGATTTGAATTTTTATGTAAAAGAAGATTTAAAAAAAAAAAGACTAAAATGTACTAAATTACTAGGCAGGAATAACTGAATACAAATGCTTTGTGGCTGAAGGACAAACAAACATACAAACATAATACAGAAGAACTGGTTTTGGTTGTATTTTATTTTTGTGCTTTATGATGCCCAGCTAAGCTTTGTCCTATTCAATTACCCAGTAATCATTGTGCTCATTTCTGGTTGGGACCAGTGTGAACTACATGTGGTGCTTTATTAGAACATAGACAGTTTTAGTTAAAGAGCAGGCCTGCAACTAATGACTCTTTTCGTAATTGATTAATCTCCCAATTATTTTTTCAGAAAATAGTGAATAATGCCTGTTGTAATTTCTCACAGCCCAGTGTGACGTGTTCACATGGCCTGTTTTATTCAACCCAGTGATATTCAGTTTACTATCATATATTCCAAAAATGCATCAAATCCACACGTTGAAGAAGCTGATACCAGGGAGGTGGTTTGGCATTTTTACTTAAAAAAAGACAAAAATGATTAACTGATAATCAAAATGGTTTGTTATTAATTTTCTGCCAATCAACCAATTTATTAATCAACTAATTGTTGCAGCTTTAGTTAAAGGAGCTGTTTTCCAGTTTTGCTATTGGTTCATAGTCAGTGTTAGCATGAACACCTGTTTACTTACCAGTCTGGAAGAAACTTTGTGAGTTCAGCATCAAACTTCATTCCTTTACTCACCAACAGCTGTCTCCAGCAGTGGAAAGCAACGCCAATGTTAACTCTCTTTCACGTCTTTTCATCTCCTGAAGTTAGCATGCTAACCAGCTAGTCCTGGCCCATCTCATCGCTTTCTGATAGCGACTCACTGTAGCCTCCAATCTGCCCTGAAGACGTAGTGCTGCTCAGAGGATATATTATAATCTCTTGTATACGCAACAGTGGCCGAAGCGCTTGTTAAGCAACAATCACCACCACCATGTTCGGCAGCTGAGAAAACTTAAAAATAGCCACTTTAAGAGTGTATCGTGGATATGTGTTAGTTTTTTAAAGCTAAGTTACATCAGAGACATGTCATGTTTTTGCTTTGACATTCATCAGTTGACAAAGTGAAGTTTAACCTTTTCAAAGCTAAAGTTTAGCTTGATGATGTAACAGGTGGGAGCTACAGAGCTTCATTACTGTATTACTGTGGTAATTTTTTCTTAAGACTGAATTTTACATGATAGACAGAAGCTTAATTATATTTTTTATAATGAGTACATGTTAAATTAACATGTTTGTTTTGTTTGTGCAGGACAAGATGGATGGCTTTGTTCCAGCTCACTTCTTGGGATGGTATATCAAGGTAAGTGTGGAGCAGGCTGCCTAATGCTCTGAACATGTCTGAACTCTATATACAGAGGGTGCTCCAGCTGACTGGCCCTAAGTGGGCTGTTGTTGTGCAGTGGCTGTTTAAAGAACAGCCAATCACCACTTCAACTGCCCAAACAACAAAACAAAGCAAACTTTCCATTTGGTTCACCATGAGTGCAGCTGAGCATGTGACATAAAGATGATAAAGTCTATTTGCAGCCATCTGTCCTGTTGACATGCTGAGAGTGAGACCAGTTTCTTAGTCAATAATTACATTTAAGAGGAAGAGATTTTCATAAATCTGACCTACTGAGATTCCAAACACTTAAATTCAACTCATGTTATTACAATATTGGGATAAAAGAATTCATTTATTTACAAATAAAGATGAGGCTGAATAGTTTAAAGCATCTCAATTTCATCTCACGGTCTGATAATAAGTGGTTGATCGGTACGTTAAAAAAATCTCTTCTTTTAAAACTTGATTGCACTTTTCTACTGTAGACTGACAACCAGGGTCTTCAGTCAGCTGTTGTGTGAATCACATCGAAAACACCAGTCTTCTCTGTTGTGTTTTTCAGCAGTGTACAATATTAACTTTCTATGGTCTATCCTTCTGACCTCGTCCCACTCCACGCCATTCTCCTCCTCCTCCTCACCCTCCTCTTTTGCTCTGTTTTCTTCCTCAGACTCTGATGATCCGGGATTGGTGGATGTGTATGATAATCAGTGTCATGTTTGAGTTCCTGGAATACAGCCTGGAGCACCAGTTACCCAACTTCTCTGAATGCTGGTGGGACCATGTATGTACATATATATTACATATATATTACTGCTCTTGTCCTTTACTTACTTATATGCCTCTGTGCTACACACTTTCACTTTCCTTTGGTTATTATCTCTGTATTTTCTATGCTAGAGTTTGCATTGAGACAGTAAGTTGAACATGTGTTTCCTCAAGACAAATCTGACGCTAAGATAGTGATGTCTAAAAACAGAAAGTAATTAGATATAAAAATGCTACCTAAAATGTTTGGTCACTCAGGACCAACTAAAGTAAAGAATCACCTGATACTGTGACGTATTAGAGATGGCAGATTGTTCACAACATCAAGACATCAGCAGACACTAACTGTGGTTCCTGCAGACTTGATGCTGGCAGTGCACTCTAAACTAAATCAAGTTTGGCATGTTCTCAGACTGGTGTTAGATGGAGATTCCTGTGAGCCACCACAGGAACAGACAGGGATTGAGCAGACTCAGATAAAATATAGGACCGGAGGTGCAGGAAATGAGGCTGAATTTTCAATATATTTGGTACAAATAAGTGCTGTGAACACACTGTGATAATCATAGCCAACCTGTAAATTCTGTGCATATGCAGGTGAAACTCAGAGTGTGTAGCAGTGTCCTACTTTAAGAGCTGAGGAAGCATTGTGATTTTTTTTTAATATCCTCATACCTGATGCCTGCTGGTGCAGTATTAAAGCTGTTTCATTTCAGAGATTTATGACAGCAATTAAATCCTCATTTGCTTGTAATATCAGAACCTTATATTATACTAGTGGGAAACTCTGCAGGCTAAGCAGCACAAATGATAGCAGGGGAAACCAAGTCAACACTGCAAGAAAACAACAGAATAGAGTGTAAACAGACAAATAGCTGGGATATTATATAAGGATAAACTGCTGACTGTAAAAAAACGTATTAAGTAGACTGCGTCAGTAGGAAGTAAGGGCGGCTATTTAATTTGTCACACAAGCAACTGCTCATTTACAGTTAAAGTAAAAGTAAAAGACATAAATATCTACTATATATTCTTTAAAATAGAGAAACATTTCTCAAAACAAGGTTATGGTGCCTCAGAGGCTGTACACACACAATGATGTCATTCTGTCTGACAAACCTCCTGTCAGGTTTTCTAAGGTCACCAACCTCCATAATCTTAAAGGAATTTAAAAGAGTGACTTTTACCACCCCGCAGGTTTGTAACAAAACTAATAGAAGGAGGGAGATTTAAGTGGAGCTCTGTCTGTATACACCCCCACACAGCCATGAGCAAAAAGTCTAATCTCAAAAACTTGAGTAGGTGGATCATGGTTGTGCATCACTGGTGCATCACCGGCCCTTTTTTTAGCACTTGGTGAAATTGTTGTGTTTTCTCTCTCTAGTGGATCATGGATGTGTTGGTGTGTAACGGTCTGGGGATTTACTGCGGTATGAAGACCCTGGCCTGGTTGTCAATGAAGCCCTACCAGTGGCAGGGCCTGTGGAACATTCCTACATACAAGTATGACTTTCCACACTAAACAGGCACTAAACACTGAGAGCCTTTCTTAACCAGGATTTGGTTTCAGAACTCTACCACATAATTTAAACTATTTTATATGTCTTCAACTTGTCCACGTATTGTCTCTGGTGTGTGACAGATATAAGGTATAAAGTTCACATTTACACATGTTGTCTAGTGTTTGACAGAACTACTTCTTTGCCTTTTGAAATAACTTTAATTAACAGGTTGGTTTTGCCCTTTTGAATTACAGAAGCCTCAACATTGCAGTGTCAGACGTTTATGCATGTTTATTTCTAACCGTATCTCTGCTGTGTGCCTCCCAGGGGAAAGATAAAGCGTATAGCATTCCAGTTTACACCATACAGCTGGGTGAAGTTTGAGTGGAAGCCTGCTTCAAACCTTCGTCGCTGGCTCGCTGTGTTAGGTATCATCTTTATGGTAGGAAATATTGCGTATTTTATTGACATAAAAGGGTGGAATTTGGGTCATAATGGCAACAAAGAACTAGATTACAATACCACTGAAAATATTGAAATTAAAACATGTACCCTCATCATACATATCCTCAACATACACCACACACCAAAGTGTGTGAGACTGATATCTGCAAAGCATGTCAAAAAGGATCTCATTTCATTGCTCATCTGTGTTATTTTGTCTTCTCTTGTCCCAGTTCCTCCTTGCAGAGCTGAACACCTTCTACCTGAAGTTTGTGTTGTGGATGCCTCCTGAGCACTACCTGGTGCTGCTCCGTCTGGTCTTTTTTGTCAATGTGGGAGGTGTAGCCATGAGGGAGATCTATGACTTCATGGATGACCCGTGAGTAGCAGCAGCAGCAGCAGCAGTAGCAGCATGATGTTGACTGCTGGAGGGAGCGGGGGGTTGGTTGAGGCTTATACATTTATCACATGTACAAATGGAGTGAGTAAAAACTTAGCATCAGGCACACAGTATCCGGAACGGATTCATAACACATGTATTTCAAGTACTGTGCACAGAACATTCACCATGTAACTGTAATATCACCGTAATATAAACCAGATTTAACTGAAGTATTTGCTGCTGATTTTTCCATATGTCAGACTGGACGGGAGCTTGTCAGGCAGGAAATAAGATGATAAGCATGATAGGGAGAGGGAGGGAATAAATGAACGTGTTACACAACCGGTAGCTGTGTGTTGTTGCTCTAACAGCTCTGATAGTTCCAATTAAGCAAACGTTTTCACTGATAGCTATGTGTGGTTATATGTGGACATTCAGTTTGTGCTGCGGGTCACTGTAGGCCATTACAACTTATTTTTCCAGATCGATGCTAAGAGAGAAATCATGCACCAGTATCCGCTGCATGTGAGGTTGTTATTTGGCAAACCCTTAGATCAGCTGAAGGAGTGAGTGTATTTACCTGACTGATAGTGTAAGCTTCTTATCACATCTTCCTACGAAAAGCAAGCATTTCTGCTTGTCTGACAAATATGCAAACACTATTGCATTGCCTTTAAGAACAGACAGCACTTCAGTGCAGTGGAGTGGGGTCATCTTTGAGGAAGGTTTTCCATTTTAACACACACTAGCACATCTATGGCATTACTAGTAAGCCAGAGTCCAACAAAAACAGTTCAGTGGAACTTACTGTAGCATAATGACTGGGTTTCAGATGCCAATAAAGGGAAGCTGGACTATAAATATACCAGTTAGCTCTACATTACATGTTGGCACTCAGCAGCTTTGTCTTAATTGATGGGTATAACCATGCTGTTGCTTTCAGGCAGCTTATCAAACAAGCAATTTTGTTTTTATTTACAGTGGGGTTAAAAAGTCTGAGACCACATTGAAAATCTTTAATATTTTCACGTAAACCTGGAACCAATCAGAGAGTTGGATTCAGAAACATTGAAGTTTTGTAAAGTGAAGAGGAATTATTTAAGATTCTGCACTGTTTCTGGATCAGCAATCAAATTCAAGTAAAACTGGGGCAGATTATCTCCTTTGCACGTCTTCCATTGAAGCGTGTGTTCAGATGACACTCAGGTGGAACTGATGTACTCCTCAAAGGCTCGTTCAAGTAACTCAACTTGCAGCTGTTGTTCACCTGTTTCAAATAAGGCTGTTCCTCAAGTTTCCAGCAGATCACTGCTCACTAATTAGCATTGTGATAGTGAGAAAAATGGCATCAGAACTAAGTGAAAGTGTCAGAAGTCAAATTGTTGCTCTAAGCAAACTTAGTGTCAAATCATGGCTGGACTAAAGGTTTCTTAGGTGCCATGCATGGAACAGATAGACCACCAGAAAATCAATACATCAAGCTTAGTTCCCTCAGAGATAGAAAAACTTCATCACTGATACAGAATTTGCTAAATAAAGAACACAAGACTCCAATCAGCAAAAGTACTGTCAAAACAAGGCTGTCTTGTGGTGTCAGAGGACGAGTAGCAGTTTATAAACCACTTCTGAGGAGGGGAAATGAGGCCAAACACTCGGAGTGGGTTAAGAAATATCAGCATTTCACAGTGGGTGAGTGAAAAATAGTCCTATTTACTGATGAATCCAAGTTTCTGATTTGTAGCAGAGGGTGTATGTAAGGACACAAACAGCAGAGAGAAAGATACCACAGTGAATCAAATCAACAGTGGAACATGGTGGTGAGAATATTGAAGCCTTTCCTCCACAGTCACCTGACCTCAACCCCGCTGAACATTTATGGGGGCCATTAAAGACTGAGAAAGCTGAGCATTGTGTAACATCACAAGAAGCTCTTTGGAACATTGTCAAATCATGCTGAGATATAATGGGTCATCAGGTTTTGAACAAACTTGTGAGTCAATACCAACTCGAGTGCGTGCTGCCATCAGAGCAGGAGGGGGACAAACCAAATACTGAGATATTCTAAAGTTATTATATAATAATATTACATTTGACACAAATGCAAAATAGCAGTATCTTGACTGGAGGTCTCAGGCTTTTGGATCCCGCTGTATATAGAGCGTTGTGTATAAAGCTTTATGCAGCTTTATGAGTCACACTGACCTTAAGTGACCTTAAGTACTACAATTTAATACATATTATGGTTTTGATAAGCTTACCCACAAACAGTGACAGCATCTTCCGTTATATTACTTTTCCATAACAACACCTTGTGCAATTTCCCCATCAGGAAGTTCCACAAGAAGCTCGGTCAGCAGGCGTGGCTGGTGGCAGCAATCACAGTGACTGAGTTTCTCATAGTGGTCAAGTATGACCCCAACACTATCATGCTGCCCATCCCCTTCTTCATCATGCAGTGCTGGTTGTTAGGAATCCTCCTCATCTTCATCTGGACAGTCTGGCGGTTTTTCATCCGGTAAGACGCGGGGTTGGTCACTGGGTCGGGGTAAATGGGGTAATTAGGGTTCTAACTGGGAATTGAGACAAAATTATTTACAAACCTACTTTAAAGATGTAAGACATGGATGCCTACAACAATTACTGTCTGCAGAAACGTGCACATTCATGCTCCTTCTGTAATTGGGGAAAAAAACAGGAACATATACAAAAGACTGGAAGAGGTGATTGAGCTAAAAATGTGTAGTTTTGTAAAGGAGCTAGAATATAAGGACACATTCAGCTGGTCTGCTGCTGTTTTGCAGTTCAATAAATAGTTGCTAAAACATGAGTTTTAGCAGTAGGTCCTGTATATGATTTTGTTTTTCCTCCTGACCTCATGCAACAATATGATTTTAGGTTTACTTTTGGTTTGACTTACCTTCTGTTGAGTAGTGTTCCTGTTAGACATAACCCTGCCCCAGCATGTTAAGCTTCTTGTCTGTTTTCTCCCCCTCCTTGCCTCCCCCCGTCCTCCATCCCTCGCTTTTTCTCCTTCCCTACTTCCCTAAACCTCCCACCCCTTCCTGCTCATGCTCAGCAGTAATGCAGTAATGTCAATGTCCGGTGAGGTAGGTATAGTAGAGAGTTGCTCGGCCCCATCCACTCCCTCCTGTCAGCAGTGTTTTTTCTCTAATACATCACTATCTGGATCCAGAATTATATTCAGAGGATCTTTAGGATCCTCTTGACAACACAGATATCGCTCCTCATGGATCCATCCCCCGCATGGCACTTTGCTGTGGTGAATTTTATCATCATCATTTTTTAGTATTTCCCTTCAACAGCATTTATGTTCTCAGTTGCAGTCAGTTCAACAATTCATAAGATGACAGTGTGGAAGTAATGGACATTGGGACAAGAGGGCTCATTGAATGAAACACACAAGAATTGTTTGCTCACCCCACACACACTATGTGCCCATCAGCACCCCAGCCCCTGCAACTGAACTGTCCATCATCTGATGAGAGCCAATCAGACCAGCTCCACCACTTGTCATGGTGCACTTCCCTCCAGTCATACTGTGCAGACACTAAAGCATGCCATGTTACTCAGACCTGGGTGAAATCATATTTGCAAATAATCCTCATGGTTTGTTAAAGCTGTCTTTGGTTGCAGATGCAAAGAGAAGCATTTTGTTTAATATAATGTAATATAATATCCTTCACTTTCACTGACTGTCTCCTTGATCCAAGTCGTTCAGCTGCAGAAAACCCACTCACTGTCTGCCGCTCCAAGCAGAATAAAACAAAAGTAGAAATGGGAAAGAAATATCTGCAAATACTATTTGACCCAGTTGAACGAGCTCAGGTGTGTCATATCACATCTCCCTTATTTAATACACCACTTTAGAATCAGACCGAGTGAGTATTATCCTGCTGTTTTGCTTAAATCCACTGGAAACTTGACTTCACATCAAGTATTTCTCTTACATTATATATTCATGACATTATTAAAAAAAACTCTTTATTAAGAGTTTAACACTCAAACTCAGCTGATCTGCATCACTGTGACTGTTTGGTTTGGTCAGATTTGATTGGCAGGGACTAAACAACCCACCAGCTTTCACAAGGTGCTGATTCCATGCTGCTAAAACCTGATTGGTGCACAGACATTTATAATGTTGCCTTTTCCCAACTGAGCGCCACCTACTTCAAACCACTGAGAAAAGCACAGAGGAAAAGAAAAACAGCAATCTCTCAAGTGAAATAAAACTGTTCAAACATTGGCAGAAAATTTCATTTAGGAGCAAATCACTCTTTCTAAGAAGTTGACTAAGAAAATAGGAGCCTTAAAGTTTTGGTGCTCCAGCTTGAAGTGTACTTTTTCTCAGTGTCACTGACTGCTGTCAAACTGGCCTCCCTCTGTCTCCAAATATACGCGGTGCCCACAAAAGCCATTTTTAAGGATTATCCGAGAGCTGTATAGTAATATGCACTTAATTACACCAGCAATATCTTGTGAAATATCCCTTGGATGGGATACCTGATGCTTACAAATGAACATCTCCGTCACGGCAGGGTAGAGTGTCAAACACATGGCGTTTAACTGAGTTAGGTGAATTATATAAAGTCTGAGCCAAAGTCCAGCTCCACTTTTCCAAATTGCAGTAGCTTCTGTAACACGACTGGTTTTCTCATTGAACATTTTGAACATTTCCTTGGAGACGTCTTCTGTTCTGGATAGCGAAGACCACTTTAAAAAAAATTATTTCATTTGCTTTGACACCAAATCTTTGTCTACAACTCATGGGAGATGTTGTTTCTTGCTAACAAATAATCACTGTTCTCTTTCTTATAATGATGAGGTCTGAAATTATCATCCAGTGTAATGATAGATGCCTGTTAATCATGGAAATGGATGGTGAAATCTCAGGAACATGGTGCAACTTTTCAGAAAGCCCTCTGTGAGAAAAGACACCGAGCAATAAAGAGAGGAACAGAAACTAGCTGAGAAGAAAAGTTCCCAAGGCTGATTTTCTATTAATAGCGTGTCTGTTTTCCTTTGATCCTCTCACAGTGACATCACGCTCCGCTACAAAGAGACCCGTCGACGCAAACAGGAAGTCCCCGCTGACCGAGACCGTCCTCTGGGCAACGGCAGCACAGCCACCCCTTCTGGGCGCAGCAAACTGAACGGCAGCTCCGAGACGCTGCGGCAGAGGAAGTCCTGAGAGAGGGGGGTGGGAGGGGGAATGTGAGTCGGTCAGCAGCTGCTGGAGGAGAAAGGACAAGGTTTGATGGGGAAATAATGAGACGAATGAAGGAGAATCGAGACACAAAGACACACGTAGAGACAAACAGATGGACACGTGTATGTGCTGTGTAGACTGTTTTTGTGCCTACATGAACCAAGTAGTCATTCAAGAGAGGCGAAGGGAGGGAAGGGGCAATTTTCATTCGGTGCATTGTCTAGTTATTGTCATACTACAGGGATTTACCTCATTCTATTTTTTAATAGCGTATGGAGAATTATACACATGACAAGATACATGTTTGTGTTATTTATACATGTCGGGTGATGAGGGGGGGGAAGAAAAAAGCTGAAACAAAAAGAGGGTGACGAGTGGAAGCAGGGATACAGGTGACCAGGGAAGTAGATAAGAGTCTTGAACGGTGATCAACAGCAGTTTCCATTTTCTCAGCTGCACTTTGTCTTAGACAAGAAGAGAGCGTCAGGAACATGTCCGCCACTGTAAATATGCTTTCTTCTGTGTTGTGCAGTCGCATCAGTGCAGATGAGAAAACGGCGAGTGTTTAGAGCAGGTTTTGTAGATGTAATGACTGATCTGGATTCCGTTCATTGTCCACTGCTGTGCAGTCTTCAGTATCGATAGGATTTTGGCCACAATACTGCCAAGCAGCAGTTAAACTGAAGCTTGGTTAATAGTGACACATTTCTGTTTTCGTTCAGTTAAAACTACACTTTTTATTTCTGTTGATTCCTTTGCACTTTCACAGTTTATAGTACTCTCTTCTTCTGTTTGGTCCCAGGCTTTTTGATATGTTGTTTACATGTTGGAGACAATATCATCTTTTCATTTACAGTTCAGGTTTCTGATTCCTGGAGGCACTGAGCCTGGAGGACCTTGTAACTGCTGGGGATCCTCCCTCAGCCACTGAGAGGAGAGGAAATCTGGCCAAAGCCGGTCTCTCTTCTCACACTTTGTTCTTGAAAAGAAAGAGTTTGTAAAAAAAATAAAAAAAAAAAAAAAAAACTCAAGCTGTACCATATTCTAGGTATTTAACTGCTGATATTATACATGCTAAATGAGCTATAGATTGGGTGTTTTTTTTTTTTGTGGATGTTTTGTTATCACCGTTGTTATTTCTTTAGGGTGAATCGATTATGAACGATAGATTGTAAATGAGGTACTGAGAAATCTGCAGCACTCTAATGAACAGTTCCACGACAATCACACTGACAGAAAGCTGTGCTCAGTTTCCATCTGATGGAGACGTGTTGGCTCACATACAGCACAGATCTGGATGTTTCCCCACCATGACAGGACTGTAATTAAGGCTCGCCTCAACTGTTGGCTCATTCAGTCACATCAGAATGTGAATTTAATATCTTCTTTTTATGCCAAAAGTTTTTTTTTTTTTTTTTTCGGTTTTGAATTTGATTAAATATCTCATGTTCTGCAGTGCCTGAATTAGCTGAAACAAGATGAGAACCAACCTTATTTTGAGAGGGAGAATCGAAGGTTTACTGTGGGGTTAGTTGTGTTGAGGTTTGGGAAGAGGACCAACTTTTCCAGCTCGGTGGGGGGAGGGTTGCCATATTGCACATGCAATCAGCCAAAGCTTAGATCTCATTCTTGCTTAAGCCATAAATGCCACCCAGACACACTTGAGCCGCTCAAACCGCTGTTAAACCTCCTTTAGATTCCTTTTAATCTCAACAGTTTCAAAGCCATTGGGGTGGGTCACATCAGCATACAGTTTCTATGTTACAAACGGACATTGACACCTGGAGGTCAGGCTGTTGACACCAAATGTACCTGGACAGTGAAGGTATGTCAAAAATTGGAGACTCCCTACTCCCTTGTTTCTGTAACACTGGGTGTCTCTGATGTGAAATCATCTTAGTTTCTTTTGATTTCTCGTCAGTTTCAAAGTTAAATGGAATCTTTACGATTAATCAATCTGTCGATCAACAGAAAATAAATCAGAAACTATTTTGATAATCGGTAAATTGTTTCACTAATTTTTCAGTCAAATACAGCAAACAGTCTCTGGTAGCAGCTTTTGTCTTTTGTGATGCTGAATAGGTTAGGGATTCGACTACTGGTCGGACAAAACAAGGAATTTGATGACAACAAATTATAGATTGTTAAACTTATAACAACCATTTCTTTACTATTTTCTGACATTTTACAGACAAATTGATTATTCAACAAATTAATCAGCAGATTAATCAATAATTAAACTAGTTGTTGGTTGCTATCTTAGATGAATGATCCAAACTTTTCATAGTGATACAACAAAATAAGCTTTACTCTGGAAAAAAAAAAAAAAAAAAAATCCAACATGGTTAAACTGAAAATAACATCCAGTCTTTCTGGATATTCACACTGTTTCCAAAAAAGCTTCAGTCTTTGTCCTCTTCAGGTTTTGTGGCTGTCAGAGAGTCAGTTGTATACTACTGTGTGTTACTCATCGTGTCCCAGTGGCTACATACGGCATTGTTGATGACAAAGTAGACAACATCCGTGAATTTAGCTCCAGATCTTCCTGTTGTAAACTAGGCTGGTGTTTAAAGATACTATAGTAATTTTCTTGTGAATGTAATCCAGCAGAATCTGCTGTTCAAATGAGAGGGTCTGCTCACCGTCTTATCAGTTTATTTTGCCACAAACACTAAGCTGAAGCCCTGACGTTTGTCATTTATGCAATGCTCGTTCTCATGCTTATCCAGGCTGTAACTGTTTGCATATTTCACCCTCTTTTTTGAATTACAGAGACTGCTGTGCAAATTTAAAACCCTGAAAATCTTTAGCAGATATGTCAAACTTTGTACTCGTTATTCTGTGCTGTGCTGATTCAGTCGCTTGAGAACTTGGTAGAAGTTCAGAAAGTTTGCTTTTTTTCCCCCCTCCTTTCTAAAATGAAAGCATTTTAGATGTGGCCTGGGGGATTCACTGTGTACCTGTGTTCATGCCATGGATTGGTTGAGGTGCTTTGGTTTGAAATCACTGTAGACTTACGCCAACCCAAGTCATGAATTTGCACATCAGCTCTGAAATCACAAAACTGTGAATTCAGAGACTGAACTCATAAGTGAGCTGTTGAACGAAATAGGAACTGGCCAAAAAAGAAAAAATAGGACCTTTTCCTTTAGTGTGTTTGAGTTTCGGTGTAGTTTCACTTGCAGCCACATGGGGGCGGTAGATGTTTCGTTACTGTCTCTGCCCTGCATTATTGTCTCCTTGACAATGATCATTGGCAACTTGCTGTAAAAGCCATTTTCAACTTGGTTTGTGTAAATGTGAACATGTTAAAGATCATAAACTGAAATATGCTGCTGCACCACAGAATTTTATAATGTTTTCAATAAAATCTAATGAAAACCTGAATCGAGCTCAGTCTCTGCTTCATTTATAAGAAATCACATCACAAAGAGGTAAGTATGAGTTTAAATGTTGAAGTCCTTTTAAACAGCATCTATTCATCGGTTGTGGTTTTGTGATAGTTCTATGACACTGTATGATTCAACTAACAGGAATAGCTGTTGTCATGCAGCGTGATGTCATGACAAGTAGATCAAGCAGATGAGATTGTCATGAAACCACCGAACCTTTGTCTCCACTTTGAAGTTGAGCAGCAGCAACTTCAGCCCTTTTTTCTTTCACACATGCCGACAGTGATATGTGAAGAAAAGTTTTGTTCTGGTCAAATGACATTACTTCATTTTGGAGCTGCTTGTTTTCCCAACCACCTTCGTCGTCACTGGGTGACTGGGCAAGTTGCCCACACAGTAGGACTGGTGGTGGTTCAATCCCCAGCTCCATCTGTCTGCATGTTAGCAACCTTATCCAAGACACTAAACCCCTAATTTGCCTCCAGTTTTATCTGAGACATTGTAAAGTGCTCTCTAAATTACTTATAGTTTCCTGTGAAGTACCTATGTAATCTGGCACTTATTCAGGTCAGTTGAAAATGTGCAATCTCGCTACAGGCAAGCTTATAATTCAGTATATATGAAAATTAAAATTTGTATTTATTTGGGTTTAAAAAGAGCAGATCTTTTGAGAGATAACTTTTTAAAACTCAACACAACAAACCAAATCAACGGTTTCAAAACTTAGTTTTCCCCATAATTACTGAAAAAATTATATTATTCAGGAAATAGCCCCATAAACAGTTACCCTAATGCAGACCAAACACTTTTTATGAAAGGAATATCAGACATTTATCATTCTCTTAGTGTCTGACACATGAATTAACCTGCTTCATTTAGTTTATAGCAGAATGTATCCAGTGAGGAGTAAAAGAAGCCTATTAGATTAATAAGTTGAGCAGTGAAGTCCAACTTCTTTTATTGCAGTTTCATGAATTCTTCATCTGATTTCCTTACAACCAACCCCTCTGCATACACATAGAACCAATCAGAACAATCTTGCATAGCCCAGTAAACTGCAATAAACCCCAGAGAGAAAGTAGATCTCATTGTGTAGTGAATTTCTGCTGTTTACTGTTACATAAATATCATAGTTCTCACTGTATTCTACTGTATTTATCAGTACAGTTAAAACTCTTTCTGGGCTCCCTGAAGCAGCTGGAGTGGATTTATACATCACCTCCAAAAGTATTAGAAAATACCGTTGCAACAAACACAAAGCAGTGCATAGAAAATCCTCTTTCAGCATAAAATGCATAGTGAAGTACAGAGGAGTATAAGAGGAATCATTTCAATGTCAAAAAAATATAATATCAAATTTTAAGAACTGACTGCTTAGGATATAATTTATGCCTGAGATCTTCCTCTGAAAATGTACCACAGCCTCTTCGGTGATGTTCTTTGGTGATTTTATGGTAAAAGGCACCATGCAAATGTATCTAAAAGTAAATACAATGCAAAAATGTGCAAATAGTCTAAATGTGCTCAGTATCATCCCACAAATAAACATGTTTGCCAGGGATGTTAAGATCTCGAAATCAAAGCTAACAACACATATTAAACAAAAACAATTTGCAAAGAGTATAAAAACTGGTACTAAAAAGACAAAATGCACCAATCAGTAACTAAGTGATTATTTTTGCAGTAACTTAAAATGATACAGGTTAGTGATAAGTTTATGATCCAGTAGCTGCCTATTTTACATGACTTTTAGAAAATGGTATGTGTGAAAGTTATTCTAAAATAAAAATAGGCTGGTCATATTTCTAAGATCTGACCAGTTTGAAGCCTTGGCCAGTGTCCAATATCGCTGGTGGAAACCAGTTGAGTTTGACTCTCTTCAGACATCGCAGGCAGACGCTGCACATCCACAGCAGGTTCAGATTGCCGCACCACAGCGCCAGATGAACCACCGGGTAGGTCATCCGAGGAAAGTACATGCTCCAGTGGTTAGTAAGATCACTTCCTGTTGGCAGGTGCAGCGTGTAGTCACTCCAGTGTCTGGAGATGCCGTAGGCGGCAGAAACCGGCCTGCCCCTCTCCGACCACTGGATGCTGCTGTTTGAGTTGCAGTTGTACTCCACCCACTGAGAGGTGAAGTCTCCGAGCTGCGGGGGGTCCTGCAGCTCCACGTCTGTCACTCTGGAGAGTGTCGCTCCCTGCACAGCCACGTACAGACCCTCCACCTTCCTGACCTCCTTCACCCACGGCAACGAGTCTTCGCAGTCGAGCACCAGAATGAGGCGTGAACAGAAGTTGCTGTTCTTCTCTCTCCACCACTCCAAGATGTGATCCAGGCGGAGAGTGTCTCCTCCTGATGATGAACACACAGAGCAGCACGTTACAAAACACACTGACAAGAAGTGCACGAGTAGAATAAGCTTGCTACTTCCACTGATGAAGATTATCTGATGCAATAAATAAACAACAAAAACATTTGTATTAAAATTACAACCAACAATAACAAATGGGTAAGGCTCAAAATGTGGCCACACAATAATCATGTAAGAGGGAAGAAATATGAAAAGAAATGCTTTAAGATTGTAGATATTCCCTATCTGACTATTTTTGGTCAAGTTTTAAACAGCAGAAATGAGGAAATCTGTTTTCCACTTCCTGTTTAAGAATTGTTCCTCTTTTACCACAGCTATATTGAACTGTACTGTTTTTAACTTACCAATTGAAGGATATGTTAGTAGGGTTTTAAGAATCACAATTTGTTTTTTGTACATCAATGAGTTATTTAAAAGGGAATAATGTGTCCTAGACCTTCTCTCATCATATACAGTATGAGGATTAGGTCATCCTGACTATGGCGGCTGTAAACCTCACCTAAAGCATCATTAGACTTGATTTAGTTTCAGTGCCCTCTGGTCTAAATGCTGTTTCAAACACCTTTAAACTCAATAAATTCATTGGCAACACTACATCCTCACAACAGGGCTGCACATTTATGGCCAAAATAATAACACTGATCGTTCTGCTCAATATTGAAAATGTAATTATTTATCAGGAGTATTCATTAATAAGAGACAATGGAGCATTTTAAACTGACAGCAAACTGACTTTACTTTTAGGGCTAATTAAAAATAACTAGACTTTGCAATGATAATCATGCCACTATAGCATGCAACCAAATAAAAAGACTTTAACCTTACATAGAAAATACAGTTACATTAAACTCAGTTATTGACAAAAAAACACTCCTCCCACCTGCCAGCGCCCACTCTCCAGTCCTGTGGGTGTGACCGCTGTAGAAGATCACGTAGGTGTCATGGCGAGGCCCGTCTGCTGTGCGGAGCTCCAAGAAGGATTTGATCTTGGCCTGCAGAGCCTCAAAAGTCACCCCGCTGGTGGAGTAGTCACAGCCGAAAGTTTCAATCAGGTGTTGGGCGAAGAAGCGCTGAACGTTGTTCAACATGCCTGTAGAGCGTCTGTTCAGCTCCTGCACCTGGTCTGGAGGCAGCAGCATGGGCTGACCGTCAGGGCTACAAGACAAACACAAATAAACTAGAGCAGTTGAAGTGAATGAATCATGTCTGTATAGATAATCAGTCAAGCAGCGCAGGCCAGAGAATCCACCTGGCTTTGGCTTACAACTCCTTGGTTGTAAGTTTTCTGCCAGAACTTATTGCATGCAGTATTTGCTTGCTAACAAAACTTATAGATTTTTTATGGCTGTTATTTAATTTGAATCATACTCTGTACAGGAAATATCCAGTCCAGTTTTGTCTTATTGATGTGTGGCACGATGCACAACAATATCAGGAATAACACACAAAAAACACAATGCACAAAATATCGATTTTAACCAGGGGGATATTTTGACATTAAGCTCTTACAACTGACAATTTTTTATTTGACTAATATCCTGGTTGGATGACATGGCCTATCTAAATATGGCTGTAATTGTGTCCTACTCTGCCAATGGTTATGCATTATGCATGTACCTGCAGTAGTTGGTGGGGATGACCACTGCGTAGCCCACACAGGTTCCTCCCAGGCTGTTCCCGAGTTCATGGAAAAGTCCATGGAAAAGACACTCCAGAGGCAGGACAAGCAGAAACATGCTCACAAAGATGCTGCTGGAGGCCTGTGGAGCACATTTTTGAGTCAATGAAATACTGGTTTAGACTTGAATTACCAAGAATAAAACTTCTGTGAAAGATTGTATGACACAAATGTATTGTGTCATCTAGCTGCCCATACCTGCCAACAAAGAGCAGCAACAGCAACAGTTGTCACCAGCGTGAAGAGCACCAGGCGTTCAGAGAGGAGACAGAAGTGTCTCATCCCCTTTGAGGCCATGATCTTGTCCAGCCCGCTGATGCCCGACCCCTGGGATAAGCACAGCCTCTGGCAATCACTGAGCTTGGTATGAAAGCCCCACACAGTGATCACAAACACCAAGTGGCAGATGGACCAGAAGAGCACACACACCACAAATCCTGGGATCATGAAGTACCACTGGTACAGGTCTGTCAGCTTCCGAGAGGCCAGGATGATGAAAGTCACCTCCATCACAAGCAGAGGCAGGAGGGACAGCCGGCGCCAGAGGCCCCTCCACACCAGGAAAGGCTGCCAGCGTTCGGTCACAGAGAGACCACTGAAATAGACATCCAGCAGAGGGTCGCAGATGAGCTGGCTGAAGAAGCAGGCGAGGGCGAACGGGTTGGTGGTGATGTTCAGAGACTTGAAGAACAGCACCGCCGTGATGACGGCGAAGCAGACCAAGTTGGGAAGAGCCAGGACCGCCTTCATCCGGAGGGCAACCATCACCGTCGCCAGCGCCACCACCAGCACCATCACGCTCATTGACTTCTGGATGAGCAGTGCCGTGCTGGCAGTGGCGAAGCCCGCCAGCTCCAGGCGCTCTGCCGAGGTGAGGAAGGCAGGACGGTATCTGGCGCATCCCAGCAGTCTCTCCAGCAGAGCCCACAGCGTCCTCAGAACCACACTGGCCAGCAGCATGTAGTTGGCCGCCTGCTCCTTCACGTCGCCCTCCAGGGCGGGGCTGTTGAGGAGGCAGAGCAGACCCAGCAGAAAGCCGAACCACAGGTGGAGGAGGCTGAGGCTCATCCTCTCCATGTTGTAGTAGTACAGCACACTTGCTATCCCCAGGACAAACAGAGCCAACACGAAGATGACAAGAAGACTGGACTCCGCGGTCCTCTCCCACCGGGCATAGAGCCCCAGACACAGGGCGACCAGCAAGTTGAGACCGGACAGGTAGCCCAGCCACCGGACCGACGACCACATGCTTACCTCTCCGTTGACCTCCTCCAGCCGGGTCATCGCTGCATGAAGGCAGTGACTGACACAGTACCGTAGAAAACGACACATTTTGATATGAAAAACTACCTGTCTAAAGCCAGAAACAGGCACTTTGATGTGTTATGGTCGGTTTAGTGCCTGGTATAACATTTGAAATCCCGCGACACCGGCACCAAGTTGAGCTAACTTCGTTGAGTGGCTAGCTTAGCAACCGTTAGCTATCAGCGATGCATCTTTGCACCGGTAACCGTTAGCAACATAAACATTTACATCTTGAAGATGGTTGTTTCGCGTTCTGTTCACCTGGTGTCCGATACGAGTTTAAATCGTATAAGATGGAGCGCCCTGAAACTAGCTGTCAAAAGTGTGAAAGACATATCAGTTCTAAAAGTTTGTCACGTCAAAAGTTTTGAGTCAGATGACAGTCGCCATGACGCTGGCTCCGACTACGGCAAGTGCTAAGGGTCATAAGTGTTACGCCAACGTTGAAAAAGCAATCTGTATTTAGGTTTTTCCATCTTAAATTTTGTTAATTCACACTAAATTGGTTTGGCTTATACTTTCAATTAAGGTTTCTTTAACCGAAACAACTTTAATTCAAGGTTCACTTATGAGCTGATTTTTTCCAGAACTTTCAACTGCATCTCATGTGAACTTTGGAACTATGTTTTACTGAACCAGGCACATGCCGGCATCCCCTGGGCCAGAGTCTCTCTATGAAGTGGCTGTTGATATTTCTTGTTCGAAAGCCATAGAGCTCAGCGAAAAGACACAAAATGACTACAAAGAGATGAAACATGACCATAAAGCGACATAAAATAAATACAGAGATGTTAGATTACCACAAAGTCACCAAACTACAAGCAACTGCATTGTTTGTAGTCGTTTTGTGTGTCTTACAGTCTGAGGGTTCTGGGATTGGGGGTGGGGGCTTTTACCTGTCTTTTACCTGTTCTTATAATCCATTGGCGACCTCCGACCTTGAGTTAAGATTGTTTCTTAAGGGTCATGAACAAACTTTTATACTCAAAAATGTTTGGATTTCAAGGGGACCAGCTCGGTTTATTATTGATTTATTGATATTATTGATTATTTATTTCCAAATAACTATGCCCACAGGTCTCTAAAATCTACACGTGTCCGGGAAAAAAAATACCGAGGACATGACCTCTGTGCCCAAAGGGCCTTAAAGGCTAGGTATAATACATGTAACCAGTATACTAGGCATAATGTACATTATTACTATATGTAATAAATTAATCCTGCCCCATGATACTGGCCCCTGCTTTATTCATGTTTTCATCCTGTACTGATGTTAAATATTTTCAGTGTATCAAAAAGGCCTGCTTGAGTGGGTCATTAATTGACCCACTTTATATCCCCAGTCACAAATGCCCCTTCATAACTTCATAGGCAGTAAACAGAAGTATTTGAATATTTAAAAATAAAGGCAGAACACACACAAAAAACTCACACAGACACTTTACATTTACATTCATTTATAAAAGAGAAATACAACCATACTATAAGCACACATTGTTCTGCATTGTTGAAAATGTTGATAATGAAGATGAACCATCTCATGCAAATGGGCCAAAAGAAACACTGGAAGACAAATGCACCAATCAGTCACAAAACACGCTTCTTCAGAGTCTGAATATGTATGGTACTGGTTATTTTTTCTGTTAAAACAGAGGAGATATCAGCAGAGAGATGTGCATTACTGGAAAATGATATGGGAATGGCAACAACACACTGCATTACATCAACACTGGAAATGTTTCTTGTTAACTGGATAGTTTGTATGTACTGTCAGGCCTAAGAAGCTTGATATCTTTTGTTAAAAGCTATGATTTTCATTTCCTCCAAGGGCATGAAAGTCTGCTTGCAACATAAATATGAACAAAGAAGGCACCTTAAGACTTACTAATGTTATGGGCCCATCATATTGGTTGTAAAATTGTCATCATAGGAAAATAATTACTTTTTGTGACACCCTTTGAGATCAATGATAAAGTGCCACAGACCAAAAAAAACAAAAAACAATGTAGATTCAGTCCTTCATTCACACTGACAAATCCAACCACACCCACACACATTTGGCCTGCTCCGGGACAGGCAGGAACACACACTGACATTTCACCTGGTAGTGTCTTTAGCTAAAACCTCCCCCCGCAGGATATAGTATCCTCAGATCTGGTCTTGCTTGCTATTGCTAAAATCTACAGTATCTCACCTGTATGACAAAACGGTAAATTAGTGCAAATCTCTTCTGTCGAGGTGAATTTTCTGACTGTGAGGAGCTCAGATCTGGATATTTTTTGGAGGCAGAGTACCTAACTGTATTCTCACAAAGTTACAAAATTGTGTCAAAGGATATTGGTGCTGTTTAGTCCATCTGATATGGATCACTGACTTGCAGTGTTGTACTATTCCTCTGCTTGAGAATAAAAAAATGTACTGGAAATCTAACAGGAGATAATTCGTTATTAATATTTGTGAGGACAACGAGAGGAGGAAAAAAAAAGTGTAATACCTACTTTGAAACACTCGTACCTTGTTACACAATGAGTAAACACAGTTACAGTTTCACATTAGTAAACCTAGTAATACTCCTACCGTATGGTTCTGAAAATGTTTAAAATGCTACAAATACCACTTTCTTGTAAAAGATACACAAATCATTCAGAGGATGCCAAGTTAAAATGGCATTGCCACACTTTACACTGGACAACACCAATGTTTTGACTGTTGAGAATATATATTTCAAAACAATGAACTTCTTTTTTTTTTGTCTTGGAAAACTAAATGCACATCAAGAATTTTCAGAAAGTCTAGCTGCATGACTGTGACAGAAGCAAGCGTACCAAGTCCAGTCGTTTCCACCTCAGTCTCTCCAGTGCAATCAAACTCCTATCAGACTGCTCGGGTTGCTGTATTTGGCTTTTAAACTAAGCAGCCTGCCACACTAGCTTATTCAAACAGAGACTGAGTACAGAATGTAGACAAGCTGACTTTTGTTATTGAGAGCTGATTGGAAGATGGGATGGAAATCAAGGAGCGGGGAGTTAAGGGATCTTAAGGGAATTCACTTTCCAACTCTTAAAAAACCTAGCTATTTATCAAAATATATCCATCTTAGTGTGTGTGTGTATGTTTATAGGTGTGTGTGTGTATGTGTATGCACTCTCATAGGGAGTGTGGATATGAGAAAATAATCTGTAAACTTCTCTCTTTCACACTGTGCAAACTGCATTGTTTTGAGTTGAGGGAGGAAAAGGTGGAGAAGAATGCAGCAGGTTAGATTTGGCAGCGCAGCAGTTGAAGGGGAGGTGACAGTTACGGTGGGAGTGGGGGTGGGAGGGGGATAGCTGGTTTAGCCTAGCTCTGAAGCAGTATGGGGTCCTCTAGCTCATGGAAGCCAGGCACCGAGCTGCTCTGGCTCTCCCCAGAATCTGAATCGTAGGGCGTGTCAGGTAGCTCCGTGAAGCCCCAAGCCAGCTGGTCATCCTCAAAGTCGGAGCGCACCTGCACGGGCACGTCGGCACAGTCTTCCTCCTCGTTGGAGTGGAAGTCCTGAGGGATGTAGAGCATCTCGGGGTAGTTGCGTGACACCAGGTCGCTGGTGGTGGCTAGAGACACCTTACGGAAGGCGATGAGATGCATGTGGGAGTACTTGACGTATTTGTAGCGCTTGAAGCCCAGCGACTCCACCGCAACGCGCCAACTGCGCATCATGAGGGCGTGGCGGTTCTGGTGGGACGAGTCGGGCGTTATAATGAGCAGCAGGCCGTGCAACTCCAGCAGCTCGTGAGCCTTCTTGCAGCAGATCCAGCGCTGGTATGGTGAAGGGAAGTAGGAGAGGAGCAGCGAGAAGACCACCACGTGGAAAAGCTGAGCGGGCAGAGCGTCGATGGGGTTGTGGAGCTGGCGGAGGAAGGCCTCGACCGCATCACCTGCCAGCTGGAGGGGTTGCTGGAGCTGAAGGTTGAGGAAGTCACACTTGTACACACTCTTCAGGAGAAAAAAGGACAAAAAAAAAAAAAAAGAAATCTGCATAAATCACAGTTCAAATGTGATCTTTTAAACCCACTATCAATGTCACTCCACTCATTTAGTTTCAGTACTTGCAGCTGCAGAATGTGAAGCGCTTTTTGTTCTGCTTTCTGCTGAATTCACACAGACCCTAACCGCAACATCAATACTCCTGCATGAGTCATTTCTGGTGTTGTTTTGCTCTGTAATGCCAGCACCAAGACACCAGACAGGAAAACCTCCTGCATTTTATTTAAGATATGTTGTCAACAAAAAATGAACAGAATGAATACGCACTCATACCTCAACTGCAGGCACTATGTCAATACCAACTGTGAGGAATTCATCAAACTTCAAGAAAGGGTTGAAGCAGCTTCCCACATCAAGGAGACGCATTTTCCCCAGCTGGGAGATTGAACTGCAACACAAATGTGAAAGAAGTGTCAACTGTAGCAAAACTTGCCCACACATAATGTGCTTAACTATTTGTACATATTAAAAAGAAGAATCTTATTGGCAAACAGACATGTTTATGGTACATGCTCTACCAGGTGGCTCACCTGGGGCGCCAGAGTGTTAAACAGAGATTAACACTGAATTGCAGTAATTTAAAAGGCATTTCAAACTTAAATGCCTGCTAAATAAAGACTTTTAATATAACTAATATACTTCTCTTTCTGCTCTGCCAAACATTGGCCCTACATAGGGATGACCTCAAACTTTATAAACTTATAGCATACTTTGCTTAAATATTAATGCTTAAATATTCTGCACCTTTAGAATGTGAGTGAATATACACTGCAGACTGCATTGGCCACTAGGAGGCCTTTACAACTTGAACTGTAGCAAAATCAACAAAACATGACAATTCATCTAATGTTGATAATTCAGGCCTCTCCAGATTTACTGGGTGAAATATGTTTAAGAATAACTTACATTTGTAGAAACTGAAACAAACAGAAAAAAATCCGGAAAAAGACATATAGATATTCAGGCAAGTGTTTCTCCTGGGTGATGGGTGAGAGTTTAGTCACTCTCGTTCTTGCAGTTTTTAAATGTGTTGCCAATCCATACTAAATATTAATTCTTAGCTGTCCGAGGATGTAGTGTGTTCACAGTGGTAAAAATGAAGTAGGCACAGTACTATTATTGTCCCACCAGGTCCAAAAAAACAAAAATCCTAAGCAGTAAATTTTTTGAAAACATTCACTTTCTTTTAGTGGAATTTAATTTGCAGTGAAATTTTAAAAAGTTGTAGTTAGATTGATTGATGTCAGACTGTGCACATATTTGACCATTTTACGTTACTATAAAACTATAAAGTATGTTAATCTCTTGTATACTATCTGCAAGAACAGGATACTATAAAGATTGGTATATAGTGTATACTTTTATCTACATTTATGGTAGATAAATATGTTGTAAATATGTTATATAATATATATATAACTTACCTGGGGATGGTGCTGTACGGTTGGGCACTTACAGATGCTGCCGTCAGACCCATGCCAAGCATGGCACTCTTCTCATCCTTTTCTAACATTCTTTTCATCCCGCCATCCAAAAAATATTCCTGACAGACACTGTGGAAGTAGAATCACAAGATTACATAAACCTTCCTGTGACATGAGAGTGACTTGTCACATCCTATAGGTTTGGATGAGTCAGATTCACCCTCATGAGGTCTGAGACAGCAGCTGAAAAACATTTGCAGACAGCCGTACCTGCGACACCATTCGATGCGTCCCTCTCCTTCGCAGTTTTTGGTCCAGTGGTTGTCTGCAAGATTCTTCATGGCGAGGGCGTATTCACTCAGGGTCTGCTCATCCTCACAGTGCTCACGCCAGATCTTGTCAAAGTCGCCCACTAAGGGGAAAGAAAAAGTAAAATCAGGGCAGAAGTAACAAACAAAAACTAATCAAAAAAATAAAATCAGAGCTCACAACAATGGATGCTTTCAAAGTTAGCTTGAGCTACTGGTATCATCCACTTTATGACCGCTCAAGTCCTACTTTTCTCCTCTTCTAGTCCTACATGTACAGCAAGTAGCAAACATTCACAACCTACTTGCCAACTTTGGTCACCCAACTTAGCACCAAAACATGATTGCACTCCTCTGGAAAAACCATTTACTGCTACACTGCCTGCATGTTCACTTGTCTCTGCCAGCACAGAAGTGGGTGTGTTTCTCTCTTTTAAAAAAAAGGAGAAAAAAAAAAGAAGAAAAAAAAAAAAAAAAAAAAAAAAAAAAAAAAAAAAAAAAAAAAATCACCCTCAAACAGCCATTTCACAGTAATAATAATGTCCACAAAAATTCCCTTCTGCACATCTTCACAGCTTCTCAGAAGTTTACAGCCTGTAGCGTAGGCAAACACACTGATAAGGAAGAAATCCCATGACCACAGGGAAAAACTGTTTATCAGATTTACAGAAATGAAAGGACAACAAGAAGAGGGGTGGTAAACAGTGTCGCTCTGAAAGCATGACTACTGAGTGTGAGTCAATGCCAAGCCTCCCAGATCATGCTTTACTTATTAACCAATCATGAGGTCTGTTAGCAGGATGACCTCTCTCTGCCGTCTCCAAAAACAAACAGCTAGTCTCTTACTCTGAATATTTTCTGATTTAACATGTATTTCAATCATGGTTATTGTAGTGTTTTTCAGGGTGGACAATCAAGGCAGAACCTAAACAAACAACTGCAAAACCTGACCTTTTTGTGCATTGCTTACTACACAACCGATACTAGGAGAATGTGGCCACTTTGAAGCAATTGCTTTAAAAGTTGTGCTCAGTAATTTCTTTCTGTTGTTTCCTTTGAGTTTTGAGAGCAGTGAAACCTTCAAATGTATGTTTCTAATTCAGAGGTAGTCAAATGAAACAACCCAGTCAGGCATTCAAGCAGGAGAAAAGCTACTTTATGATATTTGTGGCTTTTACACCTGCTTAGTCAAAAAAAAATCATGTAGCCTAAAAAACTGTTGTGCTGTTCTGCTGGAATTACAAGAGAAAGATAAACTAAAGCTAAGGTCTCTTTTCTGAAGATAAAGGTTTTGCACCTGCCGTGAATTTGCCTTTTCTTGTGTTGCCCTCCTACACAGTCTCGAGAAAAACTGTGCATTTCCTCAGAAAGAGAAAACGAGACAGAGCGTAGCGACAATAACAACACAAAGTCTCTGTGTGGGCAGGTATTGTAACAAGTTTTTAAAATCCAGGCCACTTCAGCATTTGTGGTTGGCACTTAAAAATACAAAACAGTCTTTAACTGCAAACTAATAGCTGGAATAAACCCCTCTGTCAGTTCTGTGAAGAAAAATGCCAGTTTCTTCTTCTAAGAAATGAAGACACTCAGATAGTATTCGTGAGTGCTGATGAGTTGTGAAAGGGTTTTTCCAAACTTCCCATTTTACATGCTCTTATCCAGACTGACTCATAATAGGAAACAAGACAAAGACGACTCGCTCGGCCATGAGCAATCGATTTACCTTCTGTAAGCACCGTGCAAACTCTCACTAACATGGTGCCGGGCTTCTTGCCATACAGTACCATGTATTGGAAAAGTAACAGCATGGAACAGCAGTAGATGGGGTTAGGTTATACACCGTCATAGCACAGAAAGGAGATTTTGCTCTATAATCTCTGTGGTCAAATGTGGCTATTGTGGGCAATTTTGCAAATCAATGAGCAAGACTGTTTAGTACCTTGATTTGTCAGCTATTCAATTCACTGGACACAGACAAGCAGTTATTTTGTCTGTGAAAGGTTTCTCAGATTTTCCACAAATTATACTACATAAACTACCACCCCTAGCAGCAAACTAAAGCCTGCATCAGCATTTTATGTAAGAAATATTTACTTATTTTGGAGAAGTTGTCTAGCAGACTAATCCCAGTACTCAGAAACAAAGCTAATTTGGTTGTAAAAGTTGCACCAAATGTTTGCTCAGTCCACAGAGTTATCATTTATTGGCAATAGAGAGGCAATTGAAATTCATTCATTGTCAACAGACAGGCTGTGTTAATGTCTCTCATTAGTAAGCTATAAAGGCCTCAGTTGGCAGCACACTGGTTTTGGAAGAGAGATAATACATGTTTACAGCAGAGACACAAGATTACAAACAGCAGCACCATTTGCAGTGCATGTTATGTTAATGTTAAGTAGCTTTAAAGGCCTTGCTTGCTGAATGCAACCCTCGATGCTGTCGGCTGCAGTCTGCCTCCACAACAGACAGCCAGCTTCAAAACGCCACCGTCAGCTAGCAGGGTTAGCAAGCAGAGTGAGTCATGTTTACTAGCATAACTATTAACGGAAACGATTTAATTTGGTATTTTTGAGCTCACGCTGAGTGTTAGCCACTCGGCTGCAGGGCCACAGACAAACAGAGGGGCCCACTGAGGCTGCTCACCCTCTCTGTATTTCCTGCGCAGTTTTCTGTGGACGTTTTTGACGACCCCTGACAACTTCTCCTGCTCCCTCTTGCACGGTGCTTCGTCTGGGATCGGCATGTAGAACAGCTCCGGGTGGTTTTCTGTCTCCCCTGTCTCGACATTGTCTCTGGGGTCCATAGCACCGCACCGCCGATGCTGCCTCTGCCAGTTGCTTCCCCTTTTCCAAGCTGCAACCCGACCGGCGAACCGGCGCACCGGCCAACAACACGCAGGCTGATTGGTGGACTTTGACAGGCTCGCCACACAACTGACAGCCCGTCGTCCAATCACAGGCCTGGAAACGTACCTGAGCCTTGAGTGCGCATTGTGGAGCGTTTAGGTGCATCTTGTAAACCCCACAACTCCTAAAGTTATCTCAACACCTCATGACATGACGGAAAATTAGGTTGTTTCTGTTAAATGTTTTCTTTTTTTCATTAATAATATAAAAACAGTTGAACAGTTGTTTGAGCTGCTGGAAAATTCAACAGATCCTACTTATTTCTTTATTTTTTCTGGATTTGGACCCCATTATTAGGCTATTTTTTCCTGAAATTAAATATTTATTTATTTATTTAAACAACTGTGCCACGCCACACTGTAAATGGAGTTTAATGTCAATGTTTTTAAAGACCTTTATAACTCAGCACATATGAACCATATAATTTATCTCATCTACTTGCAAAATAGTTTAGTCCAAAAACATGCTCATACAAGTGTTCAGTACAACCTACAGTGATTTGGCACAGATACTGCACCATAGAAAGGACCTTTGACTAACTCTCTCAGCAAGTGAGATAATCTGATTAGGCCCACAAATGGGATGTAGTCAGCACAACATTTGACTAGACATGAACATGATATTTTATCTGTGCAAAGGGGAAATAGTAAGGCCCTTGGAAAGCCACAATAAGTAAAATTGAGATTAGCATAAAGTTAGTGCAGATTATACAGGTGGTGCATTAGACATCTCGAATCTACAGTATGAAGAGAGAATTAAAACCATGTACATGAGTAAAGACAAAGATTATTTTGAGTTAGGAGACTGGAGAATTTTTACATCAAATAAAAAGCTCTGGAAAAAGGAATGAGAGCATTTCAGTCTAGTATGGTAACCTGACTGCGACTAATATAAACAAGCCACTGTCGTCAAAACAGCTGGGAAACATTTCAGCTGCCAACAAAATTAATGAATACTCTGTTTAACTCTGCTGTTTACAGGAAAGCCTAGTCCATTATTAACAACACTGAACAACCAGTCATAAATACATGAATTTCCCCTAGGGGATAAATAAAGTATCTATCTATCTATCTATCTATCTATCTATCTATCTATCTATCTATCTATTTAAGATTTTGAGGTAATGTCTTCTCAAGGATGCTGTAGAACACCTCCACTAAAAAAAATATATGCAAGTGTATTTAATATAATGAACAAACAGCAATAAAATAATGGGATTTTAATTACAACAGTTGTATCAAATATCTTGCATTCAGTATGAGAAATTAACAACCCATAAATGTGTATCATATTACATTTTTGTGCATCCAATTTGACTTGTACTAACTGTGGATATTGTGCCACCGACTACAGTGTTATTCACCTTGTCCTAGTCATAATTGTAGTTTGTTGACAATTACAATTAAAATTTAGTCTACATTTGTCAAATTTAATAAGAGAGACTGGCTTGAGTTTAAAGGGGTTCAGTTGTTACAGCTATGAACACGTGAAAATTTGCAAAACATAAATGAATTTCCAGTTTCTTCACTGCTTTTTTCCTGATTTAAAAGTTGAATTTAGTGTGAAATAAGGAACATTATGGTTGTATCTGAAGCTCTGCTTTCCAGACTGTAGTTATAAATTCTTTTAAATCCCTTGAGAGAGTATAACTATTCCTCTCTCCCCAAAATAACACGTACCACATGACGGCTACTGCACTGTTTATTTAACTGCAGATATCAATGTGATACTGTCATGGATGGGATGTAATTACACCATACAACTATTTCAGTGTTAGCAAGTCTTAATGGAGCGTCATCATGTGAGGTCTTACATAAAGGCTACTAGTGGTAAACAGGAAACAAAGTGACATAAGCCTACTAAATGATAATTTATGTCATTGTTTCCCATTTTAGATTGTGTCTTTATTGTATTAATTTGGATTCTGCTCCATTGTGGCTCAAATAATAAATCATCCATTTTCCATGTAAATATTTCATTAAATAGACAGGAAATGTCTCTATGAAGGTAGCACTACTGCGTCTTGGTAAAAATACTTCCTGACTTCAAACGTTGAATCAAATACTCACAGTACATTTGATTTATCTCTGCAGTCGAGTTATAAAAGTCCTGGAAATAGGTCAGGCAGGCATCTGTTAATGTGAAAATTAAGACAGTTGGCTAACTGCTGTCTGTAGTGGCTATTGTAGTAGTAGCTATTAACACTCATGATCAGAATATGTAGTCCAATAGGTGTAGGGGTCAGCCAACATGTTCTGATGATATGTGGCCAACGTAAGCTCCACCTCCACAGCTCATAAAGATTAATAATTATTGCTCTCATGGGTTTTATTGCAAGGCCAACACATATCACTTAAGGTGAAAAAACAGGATGGTTTCATGTTTAAACCAAACTTCCCATGTCAAGTCACAGATTTCCAATTTATATAAAAAACAAAAGGACACTTACAAAAGGTGTTGGGTACAAGCCCCTGGGGGCTAAATTTGGTCTATGAAACAGACTGATATACTCTTCTGTATGTCCGACTTGTCAAAAATGTTTTGTGTTTCTTTGAGTGGCTAAAAATGTTCTTCTGGCAAAAGAGAGAGGTAATCCTCACAGCGGGCTGCCCTGGAATCCCCTGGCGAGTACATTACTGCAGCTGTGTTCAGCTCAAAACACAGCTAAAAGCCAGAGTTCAAACAGGGAGCAGGAACTACGTGCTATAGCTGCAAGGCACTTGATTTGACTCTCTATTCATTTATCTTGAGACAAAATTACTGAATTACTTTGGACAGGCGCTGGAAGCTGTCAGAGGAGTACTGTGCTTTACTAGATTTATTGTTGTGGACTAACACTATGTCAGAAATGCACACGGCCTTGGCTCAAGGTTTGTCCTCTACTTGGAACAACTTCATCTTGGAAAGAAGCCTGTCATTCTTTCCCAGATGAAAATAAGAAAAGAAGCATGGAACAAGATGAGGAATAATTCAAATTTCCGTCTATTCTATCCCAGGAGCCGTTTGTTCTTGCATAAATATTGACTTTCAGGCTGCACCTTGAAAAGCCCATACATGGCATCTAAATGGTATGAAAGTACAGGTTAATATTCGTGTTCTTCAGCTTGATGCCAAACATATTTTAAAGCTGATAAGTGATGCCTGATTTGATCAGAATGCAGCCCGAGATAAAAAAAAAAAAAAAACCCAAAACATTTCAACACACCAGAAACACAAATAAGAATCCAAACTGTCCGATTAGAATCCGGTTTCTGTGTTCTTATAGACTTTCAGGGCATGATTGCAGATGTCTGACATAACATGAACCCTGAAGGCATGTTTCCTTTTGCAAAGCACAGATTTGGGGGTTGGATTATCTATTACTAACCTGCAGACATTGAGAGGAAAATGAAATCTATTCCAAGTATATAAACTCTGCTGTTTATTTGTAAGTGAGTAAATCTAAGTGCAGTCCACTTTATTAAATACAAATTGCAGAAATTCAAATGAAATCTGCTCCTAGTTTGAATCACACTGAGCTGGCTACTATGGTTAATGAATAAAACGTAATTGAGCACACTGAATTATTTGTCTATTGTACAATTTATTCATTCCAGACTTATGAAAACTAAGTTCAACCTACACAAATACTCATCCACACACACAGCACACTGATGAGTTTCATGTACACCTCAAAGATGAACTCTGCAGAAGTGATCAGCGTGACCCATGGTCCGAAGTTTTATGTACAGTAAAGCAGAAAATTGGTTCATACTCTTAGAGAGTTAACGTCCTCCCATAGGGAATACACAGCATTTGTTCTGATATGTGTCATATATATTTAAATCAATGCCCATTCTTATTAACTGTTTTATTTTTTACTTGTTCTATTTAGACCAACACTAAATAGGGAAATATCAAGTGGCATGTAGCAAAAAAGGAAACCTGCAGACATTTGTGGGTGTCACGTCAACATTTTCTACACTCATAAGCCTCAGACGTCCACATTAGACATTATCACAACTGAAACATTTATTTTACAATTGAATTCAACCAATTCTGTTGTTGTTCTTAGCTGGTGGTGGTCTCTCTCCTTGACAGTAGAGCCAAACCACTGATATCAAGTAGAGCCCAAAACAGGCAAGAAAATCATAATGGTATGCCACAACCAAAAATACCACTAACAAGGTGGTGTATAACAATGTTTTTGAGATATTGCTGCAGGAAAAAGTCTTTTTCCACCATGAAAGATTTCCACTGGCACTTCCCTGTTCACTGGACAGTGGCAGAGCTGCAGCGGCGGGCTGGAGATCTGCCATGTCCTCGTCTTCATGAAGGCAGCTGAGGTGTTGTTCTTCGTCCAGAGACTCACTGATGGAAGGCATGCGTGTGGAGAGCAGTTCTTTCCTTCTGCTCACAGAGGGCCTTTTGCCCGCACTAAACCCTGTATCTTTGTTTCTGTCTTTAGCGGCCTGCGCCCCGGCGTGAACAGCCCTCAGACAGTGCATGTACAGCTCCACCTCATCGTCTGAGTCAGAGTCTGCCGAGGCGCTGTCATGGCTCGTTTGGTCACTTTCAGGTTCATCTGTTAAAACGCACGAGTCTCCCTCTGCGGCGCGGGATTCGTTGTCAGCTTTTGATCGGTCATGTGTAACATTCTCGCTGCTCTGAAAATCCTCCTCTTTGTAAAGATGCATTTCGGTCGGGATGTGTGCGCTTCCCCCCTTCTGCTCTTTGTCAATTACACTCTTGTCCTGCACACTCACTGGAGCAGATAAACCATCCTCAGCCTTGTTTTGTGTAATGTCTAACCTCTCTTCAAAACACTCCACTTCATCTTCCCCGTCCTCTCTTGTCATTCCCTCTGAGTCTGCATCTACGACCTCTGAGGCTCCTGCTTCATCAACTACAATTTCCTCCTTGTTATTTGGATTTTCTTCTTCTGCGTTTTCTTCCCTTGGTTTTACCTGATGCCCCCAAACCACAC